ATTTTGTTTTTTTTATTTACATATATTTAATTAAAATCTCAGATCATTTACAGTCGGTTAAGAAGGCCTCCGTTTTATTAATATACACGATAACAATTTTATAGCATATTATTATGGAAAATATATGATTATTATTTAAAAGCTTCGTATTCGTCTGGCTTTTCTCACATAATTTAAATATTAATTAATAAATATGCATTACAATTTTCAGTGCCTAAAGTGTATGTTTTACGTATATTAATAAAACAACTTGGGATAAATCGGGTTATATTTTATAACCTCAACGGTGTTTTGGAAAATGATTGGGGATTTTATTTCTGAATTATATAAATGCTGTTGATATCTTTTAGGATTAGTGTTTTTTTTAATTTCATATGCTAATATTATATCAATGTTAGTAAATCTGGAATCTTCAGAAAGAACGTTTAAATACTGCGAAATCAATGAAATAGTACCTTTTTTCAATTTCAAATTACCTAAAATACCTAATCAAAGTTGGTCAACAGCTTCCTCGACTAATGTATAACAGGTGACTCCAGACACTGGGAAAAGTCCTCTTTGTAAAGGCTGTGACTGGGGAGAGGAAAACGTGATTCATATTATTTTTGATTGCCCTGCTTTTCTTCTTTAAAAAGTCCAATTTAGGTTGGAACCGATATTAGCTCCACCTCTTCCGTATTCCTCCTGAAATTCTTTCAGAAGCTTGGATGGCTGGAGATCCATAAAAATGAGCAAGAATAATTAGGAAAAACTTCTTTTTGGAGGTAGTACAAAGGGCCAAATGTAGCCCAAGTACGTGTGACCATGTTATGGCTACACTCCACCAACCAAATCCACCCATCCATCCATCTTACCAAACATCATTTTTGTTTTTAATTTTTTCTATTAAAAAATTCAAATACTCGGTAGTAATTTGTCACCCATTTTTTTAAAATTTTATCTATTTTTTTAACTTTAATTGGTTAATTATTTTTTTCAAGGTTTGAATTTAAGAAAATTAAAAAAATACAGGCCTTTTTATATTGTTCATTAATTATAATATATATTGTGATTAGGAAGTTTAACATAATCCAAAACAACTATTGAAAACGGCATTTTTGTTTAATAAATTGGTTAATAATAAAATTAATAAATACTCTCTTAAAATGAAATAGTCAAATTAGTATATATAAATTTTAAAATAGTTTTGACCCAGCCGGGGATTGAACTCAGGTCTGTCACTTGTCAAGCTGTTGTCATAACCCATTCGGCTGCCAGCCGCTCTCTTAAAAATATTGTTCATAATATTTTAAAGTTGAATATATTATTTGTGATGCTGTTTTGAACTTTTTGCATATTTATTTGTTTTTATGGGTCATTTAACCATGGAGCTTAGGTATATGCATTTAATTCAAATAATACTTTGTTGTTGGCCGCAAACGAATAAAGAAATTATTTCTTTTAACTCTCAGAAATAGTCAAAGATGGTGACTAATCTTAAATTAGTCAAACTTGAACTATTTACGCAGTAAAAAATAACTATTTAAAAGTGAAAATGACTATTTTATTAGTAAAAAATGCTGGTACTAATTTAAATAGTAGAATTTTGACTATTTCATTTTTAGAGAGTAGATACTATAATGATTATATCAAATTTGAATCAAGTTATTTATACCACTTTTATTTGCACTTTTATGCAATTATTCAAATAATTTTTGAAATAATATCGATGTTGTTAATTTTGGCTTTATTGAATTAAATTTGCCCATGCATTTTAATAAAAGTATAATAATTTTACGTTACGGGCCATTTAACACCAAACAAAATGAACATATATGCTCTACTATTATCAATGTAATTATAAATTTATTAATGATAAATAATTTTGATAATATTAAAAATTAATACTAATGGGATTGTTGATATCGATATCAACATTTTAATTTGTAATTAGCAATTTGGGGTTGAAAGGGTTATTTTATGCAGTTCCATTTTGTTCAGTGATTTATGTATAATGTAGCTGATTTTATTGTTTTTTTTTGTAATTTGACAAATTAGTTCGTAAATTTAGTTTTTACCTAAGACACACGTTTTAATAAAGTTTATCTAGGTCAGAGATAATTTAACGATGGCAAATTAAATCCTTATTTTACGACAATTTTAAACATTACTTGCCACTTACTTAATTACCACGTTATTATTAACTGACGTTACAATGAATATTCGTGTCACATATTTACTACAAGTTGTTACCCACAGTTAAATCTGTACATTTTATTTTTCACACTCTAAAACTATATATCCTTAATTTTTCACGAGTCAAACTACGAAATAATTGATGACAACTTGATTAACGATTTTGCTGACATTATTAATGGTAAAGAAAACTTGACAGGTTGAAAAGGCCTTACATATAATTTTAACTTTCGCTTTATCAAACGCCACTGTATTTTATTTATTCTCTTTATAAATAATGAAAAAGAAAAGTTTATATCTAACTTAATACTATTACATACGGTAAGGTGTTAATAGTCTCAAGATAAGAAAACATTCTTGCTTTTTGTATATATCACCTCATTTTTAATACAAGTATTGTACAAAATATTAAAAATCAAAGGTACACATAACAAGCTTTAACTTTATCTCGTTTTAGTCACGGGCTGAAGTTAGCTTTAAGTTAGTTAATAGTTGTCGAATGTCATTCAATCGTCAAAATACAGTGCCCTTCTTTTAAAAATCTTACAACTCTAAATCTAAAGTCTAGTTGTGTGTCATATATAGTTTGTGTTATTTTTTTAAACCACCCTGTGCATGTGTCATCGGCAATATTTTAAGTTTGTGTTTTAAACAAACGAATTTTTGATATCAGAAAATATGACACTTTAATTAATTAGATGTTTAATTAGATGTTTAATGAATACACACGCTACTCGTTGCGTGTCGGTAGGTGATGGTATTTTTCAAGTAGACCGAATCGGAGTAAGTATGTCAAAATAAGATTAATTGTAATCATAATATCTTTTATTATTATTATAATCTTCCTAAACAAATATTAATTAGAAAATTGGTCCCTAACTTTAAATCTTAAAATTTAATATTAACGAATAATATTTTTGTTATAATAAAAATTAAATACATTTTACTTTTGTATATCAAAATACATGGAAAAGGTTTATGACAAAACTAGGATGGATTATTTAAAGAATGACACACATGACAACTTCTTAAAGGATAAATCTATATTTATAGACAAACGTACATAAATCTTTTCTTGAATTGATTTAAGCCGAAATGTATTGACAGCTTTCTCCTGCCGGCATGCCGTTGGCATATTTTTATTTACTAAAAAGTAATATTTTTTAAACCCTTATAAATTAATTATCAACTTCAAAAGCTTGTTTTGAGCAGCAAATTTTGCACAAATATATCAACTTGAAACTAAGCCAAAGTAAAACTACTCCAGGAAGGATTAACTGGATCATCCCTTAATTGGGAAAATACAAATTACCATACTAAAGAGTGGCCTTATTAAGAAGAAAAAAACGATTCAAAATTTACGTTGCATATAAAACATACATTTTTTATTAAAACTATTCTTAATGTTTAATAGATTTATAAACGTAATTATTATATTTCTTATGTTCTCTTGATTTTTTTTATTGTCGATTGTTAATTTGAATTTAAAATTTTTAAGAAAATTTTGGATCGAAAAATCTTTGATAAAAATCATTTTTGGTCAGTTTTCTTTTATTTGTAATTTTATTTTTAACAAATGAATGTTGTTAGTCGGTAGGTTGAAATCTTTTGAAAATTTTTAACGATATCATTAATGTTTAATATGAAAAAGTATAAAATTCGCATAAAACGGCGATGAAATAGTATATTATGTATTGAGTTTAATAAACGCCATTTTAGACACGAATTTAATTTAGGCACGAGCGAGCTTGCGAGCGAATTCTTAATTAAATGAACATGTCAATAGAAACGATTACTTCTAAAAATGAGAAATGAACGAAAACTGAACAAAAATAATTGTTATCAAACATTTTGTTTCTTATAGTTTGGGGTTTAAAATCAAGCAAACATCTGTAAAATATTGGGTTTTCTCTTTCTAATCCCACCCGTAGAGCTATATGAAAATTATTATACACTTGAAAAAAAATCATTTTGTTTACATAATAGAACCAAGTAATAAAGAATAGGTGCATATATTTTTAAAAATAAATAATAATCTGTATAAAAAACTTGCACAAATTTTACACAAAATACGTCAAATGATAATTTAAATTTTGTGATTTGGGCAAATTTCTTTTTTCTACTTACGAAAAACAAGAAATTTTTCTCTCATTGGCAACACTGGTTTTAGTATAATAATAATTTTACTTTACATATTTACATTTACTATATTTTATATATTATTATTAATAATCTTTTTACCTGCATCTTAACAAAACTGTAAATTTTCTAGACATAATGGAATAAACAATCGCAAAATCTAATTGACAGCTTTTACAGTATCTATAGATATATCTACAGCTTTATAGTATCTAAGCTAGTAAAAAAAAAATACCAAACATGGCGCTTCAGGGAAAACTTAAGTTACCTATTTTTGTTTTTATAAGATTCAAAAATAATATTTGTACTTAAGTTAGAGAATACATATCGCACATGGGCTACAACAGTGTCATAAGTAGTAAAACCTTAATTCCGAGATAATGACCGTAAAAGATTTTTGAATAATAAAATTCTGACATTTTTGTAAAATTATATTAACTTACAGTATAAGTAAATTTTACAAAAATGTCAGTATTTTATCATTCAAATATCTTTTACGGTCATTATCTCGGAATTAGGGTTTTACTACTTATGACACTGTTGTCGCCCATGTGCGATATGTAACCTTCAAGTTTGAATAATGTGTAACTATATTTAATTTCTTATTTTTTGCGTAATATTTAAAATGATCTCGTTTTAAGGCTTAAATTGTATATTTTAGTTAAAACAATTTCCGTTTGTTTCAGATGTAACAGTAGAATATCACAAGGGATTGCCTCAGATAACCGTGCCATTACCAAGCAGAAAAGAAAAATGTCGATTCACAGTGAAACCGATCTCGAATACGGTGGGAGATTTTTTAGAAATGTTACGCAACGAAGACAAAGGAATAGACAGGGTAGTTATCAAGGCCCGCGACGGGACCAGGATAGCATCGTCCAATACGATAGAAAGTCTGCTGGACGACGATTTTAGGTTAATTATCAACGATTGTTCTTATAATGTGAACACACCTAAACAGGAGCGGTTGACTGGCGAAGAAGTACAAAGGTAGAAAAACTTAATTTTATATAAATACGCGCACTCTCTTATGAAATAAATGAATTAAAAATGACTAATTATAAGTCATATTTCATTAAAAAGCAGTCACTATTTCAAATTCAAATTAGTGGATTTAAATTTAAAAAAGTTTTAATCCAGCCGGGGTTTGAACTCGGGTCTAACCGATGCGCCAATAAATATTGTTAATAATATTTTAAAGTTGAATAACTTTTTTATGTTGCTGTTTTGAGCTAAAATTTTTGCATCTTGTTTGTTTTTATGGGCCATTTAACAATAATCTGTTGTTGGCCGCAAGAATTTAAAACGACTAAAGAAATTATTTACTTTTAACTCTTAGAAACAGTCAAAGATGGTGACTTAAATTAGTCAAATTTTAACTATTTAAGTAGTAAAAAGTAACTATAACAATTGCCCATAAGCCACAAACCAGAACGCATTTTAAATATTAAAAGTTTTTTTTAATCGTACAGTTTAAATGTCATTTTTATCGCCTCAGATTCGAAAGCTATAGAGAATCGTTAAATAAAATTACAGTGCCAACATCAATATTTACATCTTAAAGTTTTTTATTCATTTAATTAAATCGTTTCAATATTTTATTCCAAAAAAATAGTAATAAAGGCAGTTTCAAGTCTCAGCTTATACTTTAGACTAACGTGTTTTGGTTTGAACGCGCCACATCACTTTTTTCCAGAAATGTATATTATGAAATTTGGTGCCCCCTAAAATTTAGCACCACAAGCCCGGACATTTCTATGAAATAACAACATTATTTTCGTTATTCTAATCCTAATACAAAATTGAAAAAAAATCTAGGTTGTTTCATCGATAATATTTTAAAGTTCGAGCCTCATGTAAATAAAATATGTGGCATATCATATATGAAATTTAAAATGTTAAAGAGACTTAAAAAATCCCTAAATAGTAAAACAAAACTGACCCTTGAACAAGCATAGAGTATTGCTGTATATGCGTATATTTTAATTATATTAAACAACAAAAAAAAGATCAAAAAATACAAAATACTTCTAGGCGATACAACATACCTTACAAAGACTATGTGCACATACCCCATCATCTTGTTAATCACAATATATTAAACATTAAACAACGAGTTACATATTTATATTGCATTTTTCTTCTTAAATTATTTAAAAATAAAATACCGTCATATTTGTTTGACCTATTAATATTAAGATCATCTATTCACCAGATCGATTTAAGGTCTATTGTGAATTTACTAATATTATTATTATTATTATAATAATCTATAGATGTAATTCCCGCATTTTGTCAAATATCCAAACTTTTTTAACAAATTTTGATTTTTTTTATTTAAACGTGATTAGAAAATTGAGTTTAATCCTTTTGTGTAAATTAATATACGTTAAAAAAGAAAAGAAAATTTAATTTTTAATTTGTAGTTAAAATAACCCGCCATTTTCTCGACCCCCTGTATAAACGTCTATTATCTTTATGTAACAATTTTAGAATGGTTTAAAAAAAATTGGGACGAACATAAAAAAAATTTCAGCAAAATTAAATTAAAAAATATCTTGAAATAAAAGAAATTTAAAAATAATTTTTATTAAAATCCATCTTTAACTTAGTAAATGCTCAATCCCTTGGATTTCCTTATATTAAAGAAAGTTTTAAATTTTATAGCCTTTTCTTTAAATTAAATCTAGATTCTGGATAAAAATTTTTTAATAAAATAAAAAGGGATTTACAAAAACCTAAGAACCTACTAGATTGGAACAAGACATTCCTGTTTCCATTCAAATTTCCTGTCATTGAAATGTCCAAATATAAATTCTGATTCTCACTCTTCAAGCTTGCAACTAAAGATTAATCAATATTTTCCATGTGCACATGTTTAATTTAAAATTTTCAATGCGTGTTCAAAGCGACATTCGTTATTTTAAATGAACACGTTCGATTGAGTAGTGAATAGTAGTGAATAGTTTTATAATCCATCATTGAAAAATGTAATTAAGTCTGCTACGTTTATAGTAAACTTTATGTCGATTTTCTAACAACGTTTTTTAGGCATTGTACACAGCCAAAATAGATAAAAATTATAAAAAGGCAAATAAAGTAAAACACTCTAAAAATAACTTAATATCAAAAACCAAATTATAATACAATAAACAAAACTGTTTTCAACAAGCCTATAATAATAATACTAATAATAATAATAATTAATTCATTATTGCAGACAATTATCGCATTAATAATATTTTATGTATCAATTTTTATAAACGCTATTTTAGTTTAATTAAGCACGAGCGAAGCTTGCGAGCAAATAAAAACTTGATCTTTTTAATGGTTTTTGAAATAACCAAATTTTTACTTTAAAATATATATTTTAACAGAAATCACAAACTTGTTCAAGTGCTTCATAATTGTTTATTTGTAAATTTAGGGTATGGTTATGCAATAATAATTTTTTGTTCAAAATTAAATTATCAAAATATGTAAAAATATACATTAAAAAATCTTCCGAAAATGCCTCCTGGAGGCGCTATGGGCTTTTTCATGTTATTATTTATCATTTTAGAAACGTTTAGTGGGAAATGACGATACCTTATAACACGAACCGTTTCAGAAATAATTAATAAAAACCTGATTTTGCGAAACAGTTTTAAATGCCATTTTCAGACATGTTTATAAACTATATATAGCAACTTTCTTTTATTTGAACATAATCACCCCCGAAATATATTAACGTTATTTCCTTACACCCTGTATTTAAATAATCATTAAACTCTACTAGTAAAATAAACTTTATACTCCATTGATTCTAAAATTTTTGAACTGGCAAGCGGCTTTTCCCAGCTCTAAACTTCGGTTTATCTGGAAACATGCCATCCGATTATTTGAATAAAAAGTGTTGCATTCTCGAATCAACAATCGGAACAAGGCCGAAACAAGCGGAAGATAACGACCTGAAAAAACAAAAACGTGGACTAGCATGGTTTATGTAAAGCGTAAAAATGACGAAACATTAAATACGGCAAAGTATTCCACTATTGTGTTCTGTGTTTCTCTATGGTTCCACTACATGCGCATGCCTATAGTCTATTCTATATTCTGTTCTGACACTACTGTCAGGTGGTGTTATTTAAAAAAAGTGTTTTCTTCTGTTGTGTTTGTTATTTATTGCGAAGTTTGAGTATGTCTTGAGTGTTTGGGTTGGGTTGCTTTCAAGTCAAATTAGAAAAACAGTAAACAAATGCGCATGCGTTGGTTATGGACTAATTTGCACTGTTTATAGTCTCGTTAAAATGAGGATTAAAAAATAATGATTTGTTAATTTTTGTGTATAATTGAATCCCATGATTCTTTTGTGGGTTTGCGATATGTAGAATAGAAGTGCCGTATTACAGCCGGCAATTCTTCTTGCAGCAATTTTTCTTGCAGCAATTATTCTTGCCATCAAGTTTACAAGGCCTAATTTGCATGTTGTTTTACAGTCAGCAATGGCAAGACAACTTGCTATTTATTACCGTGCTACCAACCGAAGAAAAATATACGATTTTGTAAACACTAAGTTTATTTGTTATTTAGTGGAGATATTTAAAAATTAATGAGTGAAATGGATACTAGAACTTTAAACACAATGCCAATCATAAAACAAATAACCTTAAACTGTTTAAGTCAAACAGCGTCTCTCTAGGGAATTTGTAGTAGGGTTGGTAACATAAAAGTTACCAGATTTCACCCCAGAATTGCCGTAAAACGGCAATAAAAATCCATCCGGACCGATTTTCGGCAATTGCAAGAGATTCGTCGAAATGTCTCAACCGCGCATGCCTATGGCAATTTTCGATGCAATTGCCGAAAGAATTGCCGGCTGTAATACGGCCTTAATAAAAGTTGTCAAAAAAGATATGACTAAAATTGAAAATGTAAACTTATACACTCAGCACAAAAATTAGCGCACCACTTTAAGTTTCTTACAAAATGTAAAATTGTTGCAATTTTTTTACAGTAGGTATAGTTTCTTACAAATTAGTATTTGTATACAGCATTGGTAAACAATAAAAGATTAGATGGGGCCAAATTTATTCAATTTTTTTACAAATTTAACAAAAGTAATTTCTCGATTTTTATGTAAGAATGTCATATTCTCGCACGCAAAATCGTTGAAGAATGAAGCTCATTCTTAAACGATTTTTGGTAACATTTAGTTTTTAAGTATTGGTACCCCCAAAATGTCAAACTGTTTAATAACCTCAAATTCATTACTTTTAGGATTATTTATAATAGCTTTCTTTGTTATCCTGCACTAGTGCAACCTGAACTACACTTTTATTGAAAATGAAGCCTTTATTATTGTTTTGTTATATTAAGTTTGCTCCAACAATGCATTTTAATGCAAAATTTTAAGTTTAATGTGAAAAAGTGCAGTTCAGTTGTACTTGTGCAGGATAACAAATATTGACAAATAAATGAGCCAGACAGGTCAATCAAACTATATTTTATTGGAAATATTATATACTCACAGTACACAAAACACAAAACTACTATAAATTAATCACTAGCACAATTATTGTTATAAACTTTTATTGTAATGTTCAGTGTTGCTTGTAAAACCTCCTGTGACATTTTTCACTGCTAAAAGTAAACACAATTGTTCAAAAATATCAGAAAACATTAAAAAATAATACAATACTTACACAAAACCTTATTATCCAGTTGACAAATACAGACAGATTATTAATAAATAGTAAATAAAAATAAATCTACCTGTCCATGCAACTGTCATTTTGTGTTGCCAACTGACATTTTGCGAGAAAAATCCCCCAACTAACAACGACCACAAAACATTTAAAAAAACCTAAATAAAAGTTAAAATCGAGAAAATAGTATAAATCACACGTTGCAGAAGGCTATTCTCGCACTCATTCGTTCGTCCACTCGCTCCTTCGTCGCTCGAGGCCAAATTTCGAATTCGTGCGAGAATATGTGGCCTTCTGCAACTTGTACTTTAATATACTATTAGCTGTAATCGATAAATTAATGCCCTATCCTAACTGACATCGACGTGGCATACAGAATTAGGCTTTGTATAAAATGTTTTGGCAAATTGCTCCACTTCGTTTTTTTTTAATTTTTATGTTTTTTTCTAAGTAAATATTGTTTCATAAAATTATAATCAGTACAGTGTTTTTGTAAAAAAAAATATTAGCTTTTCAATAAAAATTCTTTATTTACTATTTGTTATCAACAAAATTCAATTAAAGTAAAAAATGCGATTTTTCTAGCCTCGCAGCATTTTTATTATATGATTTATATATTTTTTTCCGAAAGCTACGATTTTTTTACACAAAATATGTAATATACACGATAGTACCTAATTGTAGGTCGTTTTTTTTTTCAAATAATTAAAAATAACATAATATATGTACATATACATATGTTTTTATATCATAAGCTAAAAAGTTTCAATAAAAATACGTATATTACAATATTTAAAAAAAAATGACTTACAAATACTTGAAAATTTAATTGTATTTAAACAAAAAATAAACCTATAGTAAAAATACATATTTTATGTAAACAATTCTCAGCTTTAAAAAAAAAGATCAAATTTGAAATAAAATTTGACGCAAAGCCAGAAAAATCGCATATTTCACTTTAATTGAATTTTAGAGGGTCTTCTGTTTTTCATAAATAATAAAGAATGAATATTTTCCTTTACAAATAAAACACCTTTTTTATTTTTATAAAACATTATTTACAGGGTTATTCGGTATATTTAGACAGCAAGTTTATTATAAGAGATATACAAAAACTTTAAAACATAAAAGTTGTCGGGTTTGTCCTAAAACGCTAGAAAATGTTATGTAAAATATCAAATGAATATTGCAAAGTTAGTAAAAAACACAAACTTGGCAAAACAAGTGTCTAGAGAAGTTTATAAAACGAGTTGCAAACTATACTTTATCTACGACGAACAGAAATAGGAATTTAAACCAATTTTAATTCATAAATATTTGACATTTGACCATTTCGCAACTTCAGCCCGTGAGTAAAATGCCCAAAAGCCATTTAGATATCGAGGGGAAAGTACAAATCTAGTGTTAAAGAAATTTTATGTTGCGACACATCATTTTATAGGTTTCCTGAAAATGAATTGGTAGAAGAGGTGCTCAAGAATGGCTGGCAAGATCCGCAGATTTAACGCCACTTGATTTTTTTCTTTTTTGGTCATTTAACAACAAGTGTACAAAACACCACATGAGTACATTCAAGAACAAAGAATAATTAAATAATGTGGGCAGATAACATCTGAAACGTTTCAAAAAGTTCGACACGAGTTTGAGAACATACTGTATTATTGTTTAGCAAATCGGATCACATTTTGAAATATTTTTTTAATGAATTCTTTGTTTTATTTATATCACACCTTTTTTGGCTCTAACTTGCAAATCCGTGATCGGATTTTAATATTTTTTTAACTTTGATGGAACAGAAATTGCATTTCCTTTAAAGTAAGTAGAGAGGGTGCAACATACAATTTGTTTTACATTGGATTTATACTTCCCCCTCGATCCCTAAATCGACCTGTTTTTGCTCTTCTATAAATCAAAAGTTATTAAGGGTGGCTAGTTTTTAATTAAAAGCCCTGTATGTAAAGCAACTTTTAAATCAAATGTCTAATGATTTAAAATTCTTCTTTGTTTTGTAATTTTTGTGAAATCACATAAACTATTAAATTGACAATAATAAAAGATGTTTAAATTAAATAATTTGTGCGCTGTATAGTGCCCAAACTAAGCAACTTTCTACCAGGATGAGTTTACTTAAATCTTCTTATTGTGGCCTTAATAAAATTTAATATAACCCAAATATTTTAGCGGTGAAAAAAAATTGGATTTTGATTGACTTGCTTTTTATATTAGAACCCTGGAATAAAAATTAAACTAGAAACTGTTTATCAATATAATTTAATAATTATGGAATTGGACAATTTTTGTAATAACCATTTTTTATAAATCACTTACAATCGACCTATTTTTTCTTTATTAAATTTCACGTGGACGCAGGGAAAGCTACTCATAGAATAATTATATCTATAATAATAGCATTGATTTACTATAATAGCCTATAAGACTACTAAACTCACTAACTAAACTTAATTATAAAAAAACAGTTTTATCCTATAATATTTTTAAATTTATTTTCATTTCAGACTTGACGATGTAAAAAACCTAATAAGCCAACTTTACGAAGCCCTTCAAGTCCGCGAGCACCACATGACGAAAGAGCAAGAATTAACGACACAACTAGAGACCTTGCAGCAAGAGCTTTTACCATTAGAAGAGGTAAGTGCTTCGAAACTCAAATTAAAAATTAAATTGCAGCTTTAACGGAAATTATTTTTAATGCCATCATAAAATGTTTATATTTATCTTTGAAGATTTCTGTTCTGTTTGAGCGAAATAAACAGCTTTGTAAAATTACCTCGCATTTTATATACGTCTATTTGGTATTTTTAGAACTAAGTTTTATTTTCCGTTAAACCGGTAAATTTGCTTCAGAAATTGCATAAAGTTTGTTTTATTGAATAAAAAGAATATGCAGTTTATATTGGTGTAAACAAAAATCTAATCTCCTCTGCTTGACGTCACACATTTTTTTCTGTAATATTGAATATATTTTACTGGATGAAGCATTTTTTATGTGACGTGACGTGACGTCTAAAAGGTTGGTGCCGATTTGTGGATTTTGTAAAAAACACGACCTCATGTCTGCTTCCGTTTTTAGATTTAAACCATTAAAATTAACCACTTTTATAGCCGTACTATTATATTATGTTATTAAACAATGATTTTAACGTTTTTAGTAAGTTAATTTTACTTTATATACCTTTAAGCGATCTATTAATTAGGCTTATTGTCGTCAACACTCTACACTGAAGGCACATAAAACTTTTATGAGGCCAGTAATCAGTTCGTTTTTTTTTCGCCAGTGGCCTCACTGGGATCTTCAGGAGAGGTTATTTTGTTGAAAAGTGGTCATTTTTGACGACTTTGAAGTGCTGTATTTTCGTTACTGTTCGTTCGATTTATATACTAATTTTTTAGGGTATACTAACAAAAATACGTCTTTAACATCATATTTTTTATTTACTTAAAAAAAATCCCTAAAAGTTATTTTTTGAACGTTTTTTTATTATTAAATAAAAGGGCTTTAAAAATATTTTTTCGAAAAACCCTCAAACACGTAAACTGAGATACAAGTTGAAGTATTTTACAAAAATTTCATAAAGATTGGTAAAGGCGTTTTAGAGTTAAAATTGTTTTACCTATTATGCGTTAATTTTGACGGGCAGTGTATAACCCAATGTAACTTATTACCAAAAATAAGCAAATTCTAACAATAAAAATCCTAACTTAGACAAATTTAACAAGGGGTTAGTCATTTTTAATAAAAACTATTGTTGAAATTTTTGTCTCATTTTAAAATGTTAGCATTTTTAATTATTACAAGTATTTTAATATTCTTCATAGCCTATTATGTAAACTATTATAAAGTTAAAATGAGTGTATCCAGTTGATTTAGTATATTCAGGGTTTCCACTCACCTAGAAAACAAGGAAAATCTGGAAATTAGATACTAGTAAAAAAGTCAGGGAAAATTCAGGGAATTTGCTGAATTTTACGAAAAGTCAGTGAATTTAACTAATTTTTCTTAAAAAAGATTTTTTGCGAAAATTGTTTCTATTTGTATTACCGGCCAAATATTATTTTTTACAAATAATATAGCCGCTTTATACCTATACTACCTATAATTTTTGCTTTAAATTGATTAGTCTCTAAAACCTGGGAAAGTCAGGGAATTTCGTTTAATTTTCGTGGTGGGAACCCTGATATTGGTTTTAATTAGTAAATAATTCACTGCAGGTATAAAGAAGGTAATTAGTCACAATTGTCTTGCTGATAATTAAACTTCGCCTACTATTTCATTGTTTGACTGACTTTTTGTTATCTAATATGAAACTAGGTTTTTTAGTTTTAAAGAATTTTAATTGATTTAAGTTACTTTAATATACTTTTTAGGGTAAAACTTGTATTGTTAAAATTAATAATTATAAATTTGAAAAATAAATAATTATATTATTAAATAAATTTTTAATAATTAATTATTGCAAAAATGGCGAATGCGCCGGTGTTAAGAATTATTATTAACCCGGCGGCGCATTCGCCATTTTGTTAATTTATGTTTTTTAATAAAAACAAAGTATACTTTTCTATAGAACAGCTTAAAATATAATTTTAAATAAATAACAAAAATAATAAAAATACATCATTGGTGCAAAATCTGGGTTAAATTTTTAGTTCAATTATTTTTCGGTAAAATAATTTCCAATTAATTCTAACGTTTAATTTCAAGGTTGCAGCGTTTTGTTTTGGGTAATTACAAACCTAAACGAATTAACAGTAATAAAGAAAAGCTATTAACTGTTGTTACTTTTTTTTTAAATACCCATATTAAAATAATTAAAGTAAGCATCAGTGAGTATACTCGTGTTGTGGAATTGATACAATCTTATATAGGATATATGTATATGTATATCAATTAATAGGTGTATCCGTGAGTTGACTTTCATTGGATTTTAAAATGAGTTTTTGAAAGCATCAAAAAACTTTTAGGGGCTTTATTTTAATTACAAAACCTAATAGTAAAAAATCCGATTAGGATCATTAAAATTTAATTTACATTTAATGTTCTTAAAAAATCTGGTTATATTAATCAAGTAGGGAATTAAAAAAAAACGTTTTAAAACAAACTTTTACATTTGTTCAGGTTGTTTTTTTTTAAATATATAAACATTATCAATTTTACATTGTAGGCCAGTAAAAGCGTATGTTGACACAATCCTTTTATACCGGTTGAAATTTTATTTTTGTTAATCGAAAGAGCATAAATTAAACTAAATTAAATAGTACAATAATAGTCTGGTTTTAGGATTAATCAAGCATGAATATATGCAACAATGCATCAACAAAAAAGTATGTACATTAAATTGCGCTTTAAAACACGGAAAAGGGTTAAAATCGTCGAAATGTGGTTGATTGCCCAGCCTACACTGGACCAATTTACTTAAAGTAAGCTACAAAGTTACAAAATTTCAAGAGACAATGCTTTCTAAAAAAAAATAGAACAAAAAAAGAAAACCATTTTCCAAAATGGTTAATTTTTTTTAAGTATATTAAAACAACAGCGCATCGGAGAGCAAAATAGGTTTTATAAAAAGTGTAGTTCTAAATTACCAGTATTTTAAGAGTCTGTTATAAAGGAAAAATATATTGGGTTCTTATTATTATCGTAAATGTTTCCATGACACTAAGTGAGCTTTTAAATACACTTTGACAAGGTGTGGCTTTCAAATCAAATCGTTAAAATAAAGTGCCATTCTTATAAAATAATACTAAATGTAAAAATTATTTTATTATCCCAATACAAAAATACAAAAGTATTAAATAGTTTCTCAACGCCAATATTTGAAAAGTTTATGAACAATGTACTGACCCTTTAATTTCACCGGTAGACTAGATTTAACTTAATTTTGGGTGGAGACTCCGCACATAAAATATTTTCTTCACTTTTACTGTAAAAAAATGCTTCTATATCGAATTTAAAGGGTCCATTTTCAAGGGAAACATTTCGATTTACACATACAAATTTGGCATTCCCAAGAATGGTTTTATAGATGTCGTTCTATACAAATATTTAATTTAAATCATTTTTAGATAATAATAAGTATTTGTCGTTTAAAAAGTATAGTATGCACTTATTTAATTAAGCACTCGCTCGTGCCTAAAATAAATTCGTGACTAAAACTTGATACATTTATACTACTTTATTTTACCTTATGAGATCCCTATCACAGTGAAAATACTGTATAGTTGTTTTGAATAAATAGTTTTTAAATATTTTTTGTAGAAATATACAGAAAAACTCAATTTAAAATGTTTTAATTCAAAGGTTATTTTTGTTTAATTTATTGTTATATATTTGGCGCATTATTTTTCAACAATTTATACCTACGCTAAAGTAAATCACTTTACATTAGCAAGCAATTTCCTAATACTTCAATTTGTTCCAGGACGCGTGCTGCCTAAATAAATTGACATGTACTTACTTACTAAATTTTAGAATTCTAACGGCTTAGCCATCGGATTATTGAGCACCTCGCTGTCGAACGCACTGCGGCATTTTGATTAGATGGACATTTTAAGCTTGATTCAGATTATCAGGCATTCAACGTTGTCTTGCCGTTGCAACGCGTTGCCTGTATATTGTAACGTTTTTACTGTTCGTAGTGTGAATTAAAACACGCACTGGTTAATTAACGAACTAAACTATTTATTTTATAACTTACACTTAAAACTTACTTAACACTTAACTAATAATTATTTATATATCACTTATTTGCACGTATATTTATATCGTTGCGAGTACCAAAACTTGACTAACTGCTCCATGCTGCGCCGTTCCTTATATATTCAGTGCCTACGTGCATTCCCGAATATTCCAGCAAGCTCCACACCGCTCTCGATTATTCGAGTGCTGACTCACCGGAGATCCAGAGCGGTACTCGCTACAATATGTTAAAGTTTTATTTAAATAATATTTTGTTGTGTTGGTCGTTGGAGTAAAGTAACATAAAAACAAAATAACCAAATTGCAAATTACAATTGCGCTTTATAACACGCGATAGAGAAGTTTACATTACAATTTTAAAGCAAATTTTAATTATGCATTTAAACTCCGGCAGCGTTGCTTTAGTAAAAGTCAATTTTAGGCAACTTCTAAAACATCTAACTCTAAATATATATGGAAGACACTTCTCAGCCGCATGACATACAACATTTTATCTTCAAGGCATAATTTTATTTGTTAAACAATACATAAAACGCACAATTATGCTATTTATTAAAAGTAGAAAGTGAGGTTAGATTAGATCTGACAGTAGTCGAAGTGTTTTTCACAGATTATAAAGTGTTTTTTAGTTTTCTTATTAATTTATTTATTTATTACTTTTAAGTTTTAAAACTTAAGTTATTTTTCTAGTTACATCGGCCATCTGCTTGAGAAACGCTTTCATTTGATATCCATATCAAGGAGGTTGTAAAGAAATAGGTAATCCGCAAACTTGGGGCAGCCGCCATATTGGATTTAGTATGACCTCATCGTTTTCTACTCGATATCCATTTCAAGGGGGTTATAAAAAAGATAATCCGCCATCTTAAAGCCATTTTGAATAAATTACAATAGGTTTTGTTTTTATTTACGGGTTCGTCTGAAAATTGTGTTTCGGTTGGACACTAGAAATTAAAAGACAACATTATTAAACATGTAATTTTAACTTATTTATTTATAAAAACAATAATAAAATCGAATTTACTTTATTTCGTACAATTTTGATGAAAGAATAATATTAATAATTAACGTTTAAATTTAATTATAACAAAACTTTTAGCAAGTTCATTCAAATTGAAAATTATTAATTATTGCCTTGAGGGAGTTTAGTCGAAATACGTCAAAAGTTTTCCAAACTTATATCTTAATGGTACCTACATAACATGTGTTGATAATTTTAATTTATTTATTTAATTAATACATGTAGCTTTAGAGCAACTTTTCCCAATTCACGTCTCAAACAAACATAAAAAAATCCTATTTTTTAAATTAAATTTTTCTAATGCTTATATACCCTTTAAAGTGCATTTATAAATAAGTTATATATAGAAGAAACTGTTTTACTAAAAGCACCGCCGTTTTTTAAAAGAAATATTACCTCTAGACATCCTTTTAATAGTTGCTTGAATATGTCAATGCTAGAAAGACTTTCTTTGTTTTTATATTTATTCTACTCACGGACTTTTTCAAATAAAGTTGAAATGCGACCAATAAAGAGGATGAAAAAAGGTTTTAAACCAAACAAAACCATTTAATTGGTTTACTGGTCTTATCGTAAGTTCTTTACGTGGGTCTTTTTTAAATTCAAAGATGCCAAACGATTTTAAGCAAAAATATAAACGATAAGGTTTATTTAACATTTTATAGGCATTGCTTTTAAACAGATAATTATAATAATTATTATTGGTCTTAAAATAGTCTTGGTATGGTATTTTGTAATCATTGTTATTAATTGTGACGCGCTCTGAGAAAAATGACCTAAGCGGTCCAGCGCTTTTAGAGGAGAAAGAAAAGAACAATCCAACCGCGCTAGACGGCAGCCAAAACGTATACGAATCTATAGATTCTCCGTTGTTAGACTGTTGTTACATGCCAAAATTCAGAAAAAAAACTTTAGATTATTAAAAAGCCGTCCATAATCTACAAAGATCATAATCCAGAAATCAATTTTTGGACGCTAGGCCCCTGTCCTAGGAGCGCGATTTTTTTATCAAAGCAATAATGCTATGCTAAATGCTAAATATTAAAATAAAACCTTAAATACTTTTTATTAAAACCGAAGATTTTCCTAATAGTATATTTCTCTTCTGTCGGTTTCATTATGGTCCTACGGAAGAGTAACAGATGGCGTCAGATCTAAGTTTTAAAAATTCAAGTGCTTTTGTTAAAGAAAGAAGCTAATTTTTTTAAAAATTGCTGTAAAATTTTAAAATATTTGTAAATATTATAATCATTCTATTGAGAATTTTTGTTGTTTTAATATAGTAAATTTATTTTATTTATTTATTTTAAATTTTACTTTTAGATTACTTACTGTGCAGTGTTATCAAAAAATAAATTAAAATATTGTTTTCTGTTTTTAAAATGACTAAAGTCCTTTACATCGACAAGCGTCCTTTAGTATGGTTTTGAAACGTGACCTCTGCGACAAAATGGAAATAGGTCATGCCTAACCTACAGGATACCGTTACAGGATAAAATATCACGTTCTGTAACAACCACTTTAATATCATTTTAAATGACATAAGGAATATGCCAAAATTGCATTAATAACATTATTTTAAATGCGGGTTGGACGTAACCTTTAAAGCCCCTACCAGTGGCGGCTCGTGACTTAAAAAATCTGGGGTTGTACCCATATACAACAACATTATAAATTATAAAAAAAAAAATTGAAATTAAAATTAAAATTATGAAATTAATGGCCACTAGGGTTTTAAGTTAATAAAACATTAAGCTTACCAACTTCCTTATTTAAAGAAGAAATCCATTTATTATTTTAGTCAAATTATATATTTGTTTAGGTATTTTCTAGTAGAAAAAACCTGATTTTATTTATTCAACACCAAATAATTTCAAGTGTACTATAAATGTTTTTTTTACTCCCACCTTTAAAACGCCCATTATCGTACATGTTTCCATGACACGTGACCTTTTAAATACACATTAAAAACTTGTGGCTTTATGGCGTTTTAATCACGGGCTGAAGTTAGTAACAGGTGGCAACAAGTTTTTAGTCACGGGCTGAAGTTAGTATTAATTTAGTTGACAGTTGTCAAATGTCATACAATTGTTAAAATCAAGTGCCTAAACTTCTCTATACATAGACACTCGTTTTTGTAACACTCGCTTGCTCGTGCCTACAGGCACAAGTTTTGATTATAATTAAAACTTGTGACATAATATACTATTAAATCAATTGTTACATTTTTTCTAGGGATAGGCGGTCTGCTATTTAATAAAATTACTGTTTATTTAGTCAATTATTAATTTTTCTAGATAAACAATCAAATAATGGTACGTTTTTCCAGTACTTATTTTTGTTTTTGTTTGTTACAGAAAAAGGCTGAGCTGGAGCTGGTGGCCCAGCGAAAAAGTAACTGGCTTTCATGGACCGGACTTGGATTGATGTCTGTGCAATTTGGAATTTTGGCCCGTCTCACTTGGTGGGAATATTCTTGGGACATTATGGAACCCGTCACTTATTTTGTCACCTACGGCACTGCAATGGCCGCATACGCCTATTTTGTACTCACGAAAGAGGTAAAAAATGCTAAAGAGAACTCAGATTTTTTTCTACATCTATAGGTATAAATATAATAAAGTTATTTTTTGTACTTTTTAGGAATACATTCTTGCTGACGTAAAAGATAGACAACACCTGATCACCCTGCACAAAAAATCCAAGAAACTTGGTCTCGACTTGAATCAGTACAACTTGCTGCGCGAGCAAATCAGCAAAGTGAATTTGGACTTAAGAAAAGTAAGGAAAAAACGCAACATTCATTTTCCTGCTAAACCAGCTTTGGTAAGTCCAGGCGCTCCAGCAGTCTTGCAGGCCGTTCCCATAGAAGGTGTCACTGTGAAAGACACAGTCACTGTGAAAGAAGAAGTCGCACAACCAGATGCCAAAAAATCTAGTGAAACCTCCGCTAAAGACGAAATACCTCCTAAGAAATGATAACTTTTAGGTTAGCCTAATTTATTTATTGATTTATTTAGAAATTTATAACCCAGTCACTTTAGTCTAACTTAGTAGCCCTATAACAAAAACATGGAATTATTTTAAATTTTTCGACAGAAAAAGTTACTGGGTTATGAATAAATATTGCAATATCCATACTCACTTCTTTTAAAATTTAGGACCAATTTGATGGTTAAACCTTACCCTAAGATTGTTTATTGCAGTTAAATGGAATGTTAAGTGATTCAAGCTCAAATTAGCTATTAAGACAAAAAAACTTTAAATATCTTTGTATACATTTAAGTTCCTAATTTACAAATAAATTTTCTTTAAACCGTGTATTTGAAGGTATTTATTGTTGGGAACACCAAGTTTACTAATAATATTCGCTTTAGCTTTTCTCATCATAAAAATTATAGCACTCCTTCCGTCCTACTTTTTTCTTAAGATTACGGAGTTGACTTTATTAAATTTGACCAATTTTTATATTTAAAAATAATTGGTTAAGAGTTTTTAAACTAAGGTTAAATACTATTTAATAAAAATAAAATATTCATGTGATGCTTTCCAAATTACATTTAAATATAAATATTTCGGTTATTAAAATTTATTCACCATATAGCCATAAAAATTAAAAATAAAACCACTTTATAATTAAATTTAAGAAACTAAAAATTTATTTTTTTTCGAAAAATTTAGATTTTTGCGTTACAACTTTAAAAAGTTTAACTATCTTTAAGTCATAAAATGGTTTTACTGTATTTTTGTTGCTGCTATTATATGCAATATTCTATAAATTTTAATCATGATCATTTACAAACATATTTTAAACATGTTAATTTTTAAAATTTCATTAAATGTAAAATTTAAAACTTTCCTAATGGTGCTATGCTATAAAAATATATTTATCTTTGTTATTCACCTATTACACCCATTGCACTTCAATGCGCTTACGTAAAATGCACAATTCGCTGTGATTAATACTGTTTATAGTATTTTTTTCATGTGGTATAAGAAAACAATCATCTCTGCATGTTTTAGGCTTTAAAAAATGAACGTACACTTTTGTTGAATTTGTATATATGTAATATTTTAGAAAGAGCTTACCTACTTCTATAAGGTTATTTGCCTGTTAACAAACTTCTAGGATTTAAATGAGTCAAACAAAACTTCTTACGTTTTTATTTGTAGTAATACTATAGGTACACATAGGTCGGGTGTGTTTGGCCCATTTTAAAACCAATTTAAACTATGATAAATAGTGCCAATATAATTTTTATAGTTAAGATTTGAATTGAAACTTTTCTCTATTACATACTTACATAAAAACTTGACATTACTAGGCATGTAAAGTTGACTTAAACTTATATAATTATATTTGTTACATGATGTACTGTTGTTAGCTTTTTATTTAATTTTGTAACAGAAAATGCAATGACAACATATTTTTTAATAAAAACTAGTCATTTGATTAAATTAAGCTGTAAAATTAAGTAAATTGTGTTTAAATTATGTTTGAATTTATAAATCGGTCTGTTCTAATGTTTTATTTGATTTTATATATCTGTATATTTTACATCCTAAAAAAGTGTATATTGTTTGTAAATACATGAGGTCCTTAAAAATTAACATTATAATAAATATACATTTGTTGCCAAAAATTGTTTTATTCTGTAAGTATATGCTAAAAATCAAATACTTACCTCACACATGATACATTTGTTGTATCATGCTTCCAAAATCACATACTTCTACAGGAAGTATGTGTCCAAAATCATATACTTACTGTCATAGAAAAAGGATATGTCACAGATTATAAAGGTTACTGCTTACTGTTGTAAGTATAATATACATATTATGTCAAAAATCACATACTTCCACACTGGAAGTATGTGTCAAAAACATATACTTACCTTACTGTGTGGTAAGTATATGGTCAAAAATACATTGTATCGACATCTATGAATGAACTATCCAACTTTGTAAAGTTTTATTAAAGATTTCTATAAATTATTTGACATATATTATTGACGTTTATTGCTGATGAGTTTGTTTAAAAACCAAATTATTTATTCCCAAAAACTACAAATTAATGTATTTTTACTATAAATGCATTTTTTTATTATTCAATTCGCATGCGCCTACTTCTTTCACCAAATATATGTCTTTAACGCATAACCTAAAAAATTTGCTTTATTTGCAAATTTATTTTCATGTAAGTATTTCTATTTATTTAAGTATTATATAGCTTAATGTTTTAAATATTCTAGCAATGGCTTCAGTTATTGCTGAAAATCAAATAGAATTCATAAACGATTCTGAAGATGAAGATCAACCCATTCAAAGTGCTCCACATATTTTAAAAGAAAGTCCAACTAAAGTGAATAGTGTTAAAAAGTTAATACAAGTGACAAATAAAGAACTAATTAATGAAATAAAAGCTGGAAAGATTCCTATTCAAAAAATTCATGTAAATTTAGGTGAAACAAGTCCAAATTCTATTAAATATCTGGGTAATGTAACTAAACAACAAAATGGTGGCAAAAAAAGTATTGGCATTAAAAGTACTGTTGAAAAGCAACCATTAATTAAAATACTCAAAAAAGGCAAAAATTTTAATAAAGCTAATTTACTTAAAAATAAACAAATTAAAAGTGTTAATTTACAGCCAAATTCTTCTGGTTTAAAGTCAATTGCAACAGTGACAAACCAAAATCCCCAGTGCTTAAACCAAATACAACCTGTAGAGTGTGTTTTTTTGATGAACTCAAATAACGACATATTCATTTCTGAAAGCGACAATTTAGCAACGAACGATATCGTTTGGAAAAACTCTAGCGAACCTAACCTCAATTCGGACTTTTCCTGCGCTATAGAAATTAGCAGCGACGAGGAAGAAATAAATAGCTCTGAGGATAATATGTCGGATATTTCTGTGGATATTAGTTTGGAACCTAAAGTTTGCTGGGAACCGCATTCCGAGTTTAATTTGGAAGAGTTACAAAATTCACCTGGGTACCACCCTACGGAAGTTATATGTTCAGAACAATGTTTAAAATTATTGACAAACAAAATTGAACAATTAAAGGCGTTTATTAAGAAATCCAAACCCAAGAAAAAGAAACCTGTTAAGAGAAAGCACATATCTACAAATGTTATTGATAACGATGACCTTCTAATCACACAAAAAGTTGTCATACTGAAAAATAATAATAACGTTAAGAGGGTAAGAAAGCCAAAGAAAAAGGTGACTGAAAGTGACAAGAAAGATGTGAAAAAATTACTGCAAAATTTGGAAAGGATGAGAAAAAAACGACATGCTAAAGAAATGGAAAAGAAGTTCAACATGCAAAAATGTGTTGTGGTGATAAACAGGAATCCATGCATAGAAGAAATAGTAAAGAAAAAGTGTGTACCAACAATTAAAGTGGATGAAAAGAAACATACAAAGCCTACAGTTTTTAAAAATCTAAAAAAACATTACGAAGATTTTAGGAAATATGTAGATCGTCGTAAACCCTTGTTGCTGTTAGGCTCTAGAAATTTTAAAACTATTCTAAATGACATTAATAATGAGTCTAAAAAATATAATATTGTTTATATTGAACCAAATTCAAGTATAATGGAAAATTATAAATTTGCTAATGCTGTTAAAAAGAAACAAATCGTTTTAACAACCAGTAGAATAATTAATAAGTATTTATTAACCTCTTAAAAGGCTTTCAAAAGATGATTAAACTTAAGGTTAAAAATATTTTATACCCACAAATAGTGGTTTATTTATAATATTATTGTTACAGAGTTAATATTATTTGTTTAATACATATTTTGTATCCAAACTTTTTTAATTTCTACCCAAATTGAGAGTTTCTTACAGTACCTACAGGTTTTACCATGATGGACTGGGATTTGCAGATTTTGTGCTGGAAAATTTGCTATGCAGAAAAACCTGTTTTTATCTAATATCTAGAAATGCATAATAGACTTGAAAATTAAGCTCCATATAAAAATTCTTGCACTGCTACAACTTTGATCTTCTAATCTGTGCAGGGAATATTCAGTCGCAATTATGACTAGACTATAGCTATTTGTTTATTTTTTTTAATTCTGCTTTCGTCGCAATTTGTATCATACAAATTGTATGCCCCATTTCTTTTTTTTACAACAATTTCTACATGTTCTTGAAATAGCTGATACTTGAGAAAGGAACTCTATATTTATTAGTCCCCACGGTATGAGGAATACTATGCAAAGCCCCTTTAAAATTATCCGCTAGCTACGCCCATGTGCCACATCAGACGTAGTTGTACATTTGAACTATTTGGTTCTTCCTGAAAACCTAACCTCAAAATTATCAAACAATATTTTTTCTTCATTTAAGGAGTTTATTAACTATGTTAATGCATTCTTGTGAGTTTGTATACGATTTAGAACCGATTTAATCAAAGTTTATGTAAGTAACTACAATACTTACACAAGTATACTTACCTCAGAACTATAAAATTTGTAGAATCTAAAAATGGAATACAATAATATAGATCCCGACTACAAAGCCAATAATACCGCTATAAGACGAGCAGAATTGAATCAATCAGAAGACGAAAAAGTATGTGAAGAAGACTTATGCAGAATAATAAAAGACAAGTTTGATAATGAGCTAGCGAAAAGAACTAAACACATAGAAAACATTGAAGAAAATTTATTTAAAGCCCAAAAACTATTGCATCTAGTCCGTTATGCCTTAGTCACTCAATACTATAATAGTAAGTCCCTGCAAGCTGATTCTGATGAGTTTGAAGATATTAATCCACTAAACTTGGACAAACAATATAGGATTCACCCAGCTGTTAAAAAATTATTAGGGCAAAATAGCACCATACAGTTATTAAATAGGGGTAAAAGAAAAGCCAAACATATTATTGAAAATAAATCAACCACCACACAGGCAAGCACAGAAGAGTCAATGACAAAAAAAGCAAAACTTGATAGTTTAGACCCAGTACTACTACCTAAAGTTTCATCAAGTGTAAGTAGTTCAAGAAACAGAAAAAAAGTCACTCAGAGAATTATTCTGGGCAATATTTCAAAGTATATGCCTTCCAAAGAGTTGGATAATTTAACACATAAATGGATGGTTTATGTAAGGGGACCCACTGAAAGTCCTGATGTATCTAGTTTCATACAAAAAGTGGTATTTTATTTGCACCCTTCTTATAAACCCTACGATGTAGTTGAAGTCCTTGAATCACCATTTCATTTGGCCAGGAGAGGTTGGGGAGAGTTTCCAATTAGAGTACAAATTTTCTTTAAAAATGACCTCAACAAACCTGTGGATTTAGTACACAATTTAAAATTAGATCAAAAACACACAGGCAGGCAATGTTTAGGAAATGAGACTCTAGTGGATCTATTTTTGCATGAAAAGGTTAGTGATTTAGATAATCCGGTTAATAATGAGCTTCAAAATGAAGAACTTCAAGAGCTTCAAAGTGAAGAACTTTTAGATGACCTTCATATTGAACCAAAACTAGAATTTGATAGCTTTAATCATGATGGTGATTTTGTTGAATCATTTCATAGTGAGTACTCTGATCATGATTATAGTTTATCAGAAGGTAGTGTAAAGAAATTGGAAAATAACATACTTAATAATAATCCTGATACACCCCTAATACATGGACTAGATGATTCTTTTTTCAATGATAACACAAAAACAGAAAACTCCAAAAAAGAATCACCAAAAACAATAAAATCTCCCATCAAATCACCAACAGTAAAAATGATTACAAATTCAGCTGGAAAAAATATTTACTTTATAACAAACTCAAATGGACCTTTACTAAACAAAAACCTCTTTATACTAAAACCTAAAAACCCCCAAACAATCTTAAAACCTGAAGATATTTCCAAAGTATTAACAAGTGTAGCCCACAATTTCGAACCAAAAATAGACTATAATCAATTTAAAATAGAACTGCCAGAAAATACTTTTAAAAATATGGGGGAAGTGTTGCCTTATTTATTTAAAAAGTTACCATTATGGAGCAATTTAGCCAATAATTTGAACTACAAGTGTACATACCCATTTACAGCACCGTCTTTTAAGGATTACTCTAGTTATAATGTTGGGAAACAACTAAGTGCTGAATGGTCCAGAGCAAAAACCATAAAAAAGATTTTAAGACAGTGTAACTTCCCTTATATTGAAGAATGGAATACAAAAACAATTCTAATGTATGGAAGATCCCATGGATTCACAGCACAAACTACATATAGTATTTTCAAAAACGATTGTTCAGAAAAAAATCTTATCATAAACTGCTTTGAAAACTCAACTTCAATCCATAAAAATAAAAACAAAAATCACGATGTTAACGTGGATATTTTAACTTTAAAACAAGATGCCATAAAACCTAATGAAACTATGGATCCAATAGATGTGAGTGATCCTAAATTAAAACCGCATTGTTCGTTTGTAAGGCAAACGGCTTTAAATTCCGGAATAATTTTGAAATCCGAAGAAATTCAACCAAATGTAATCTTTAATGGTGCTGAGAGAATGTTGTTAGAAGCAGTTAAAAGTCTGGCGGATAGTTTAATTAGAAGATCTATGTCTCATTTAGTGTCAGAAGGGAATTATGTTGAAGGGAAAAGTGAAATAACTAAAGAACATGTTGAGTTAGCGTTAAATGAAAGAAAAGAAATAAAGGATATCAGAAATTTTGAAAAGATGAAAAGAGAACTAGAGTTTTTTATGTAGCAATGATGTTAATATATATTTTTTAATAAAAAGATACCTAAAGGATAAACATGTTTTTAAGCGTTTATTTTAATTTTACCTATATTATTTATACTAGGATTGATGCCTAATTTATTTCGAACTTCTTCTGTAGTTTTTTCTGCAATAACAGATGCTTTTTCAGTGCCTTGTTTTAAAACATCCAATAAATATTGAGGGTCTTCTACAAGATGTGCAATTTTATCTTGAATTGGTTTAAAGTGTGATATAACAGCATCTGCTACCATCAGTTTATACCTTCAATATTTTAAATGTTAAATTAAAACGTATGTCATAAATTAAAAAATAACTTACTGTCCAGTATTTAAATTATTTGCTTCTAAAACAATGTCCTCTACACTTTTATTTGTCACAAAGGAATGGATACTGATTAAATTTGAAACCCCAAGTCTTTCAGCAGGGTCATATGTTACTTCAGATTTAAAATCTGTTACAGCTTTCTTTATATTATTTAAAATATTGTCTGGTTTATCCAATAAACAAATCCTAGATTTGGGGTCAGGATCTGACTTGGACATTTTCTTACTAGGATCTCGAAGACTTCTTAATCTAGCATATTCTGCACCAGTAATTAAAGCATGAGGATGAGGAAAAGTTTGCCCAAATTTATTGTTAAACATTCTTGAAAGTTCCTGACACAATTCTATGTGCTGAATTTGGTCTTCTCCTACTGGGACCTGAGTTGATCTAAAGAATATTTATTTTATAAATAAAGGTAAATTCTTCTTGAAATTTCAAAACAAATTTTCCTTTCCCATTTTGAATTTGCAAAATGTTTTATTTAATTTTTAAAGCCGCCAATAAAAGCGCAGTGTTTCTAATCTATCTAAAATTGTGTCAAGCATAAATTTAATTCAAATTTAATGGAAACAGGTAGGCAATATAGGAAATTATTATGTCTATGCAATGCATACCTAGTATTTTACCCGAATATTTTTGATCATTTTACATATTATTTTGTTAGTTAAATTTATAAATGCGTCATTTAAATTTGGTCGCATCTTTATTTCGTATGAGGTTCTTTATTTTGAAATTTATGCTGGAATTATTGTGAAACTAAAAACATTGTTGAGGGGCCGTCGATACATCTCGTGACGCTTAAAATGTTTGCGAGTCACCCCTGTAAAATCTTTATTTATTGTGCTATTTTTATCGGATTTGTTTTAAAGGTAGAAATAGAATGTCAGTTTTTAAGAGTAAATTTTTAAGAATTCATATTAGCGTTTTTTTTTAATCTAAGCACTGCACTGGATTCACCACCCCTCAAAACGACCCTTTACCAAATTTTATTGAAAAACTTTAAGTAGAAAAATGCACAATAATAATTACAAAAATTTATTCTGTCAAGTTATCCATGAAAAAAAAATTTGAATAAAATTAAATTTATAGTAAAAGTACCATCTTATCAAATTTTTCCATACAATTTAGTATAGGGTCGTTTTGAGGGGTGGGGAATCCAGTGCCGTGCTTAGATTTTGTTCGCTAATATGAATTCTTAAAAATTTACTCTTAAAAACTGACATTCTATTTTGTAAAAATATGGCGGTTTTTGCTCCAAAAATACAGTTTATCAAGATCTACACTTTAAAACAAATCCGGTAAAAATCGCACAATTAATAAAGATTTTACAGGGGTGAGTCGCAAACACTGTATAAAATTCCTATTTGGATTAAAAAAATAAAAATTAAAAGTTATAACGTTTGGTAAATTTAAGAAAAAAAATTTTATATGTGCATTTAACTACGATTGCCTCCGATTTCCACGTTGATATCTACATGAGGTTGTTCATTAAACTTTACTTTATAAGTACACAAAAAATTACCTAGCGCATATACGCACATATGGAAAAGTTATGAATTTTTATTTATCGCGCTGCATGGCTAAATCGCGAGCGCTCGTACCTAACTAAGGCATTGTCTACGCACACAAGATTTTCGAACCCACAGATCTAGGCTCATAAGTTTTAGTTGAATTTATTAATTATAATTATAAATATTTCAACATGTATTAATTTTTTTTTAATATTATTAAAAAATATCCTATGGGATTAATAATTATTAATTTGCTTTGTAGGTATCTTAAAGAAAAAATATTGTATTATATAAATGAATTAATAATCCCTTGTTTTGCATCTTTAAAGGTAAAAACTATTAGGTAAAACATTATTCGCTCATTTATAAGGTAATATTATTTTACATATGTATATATATAGCAAAAGCAAACTAACTATTGCATTTTGTGATTTTTCAAAATGAGTACTTTCTGCGTTTCTTTTCAGTTTTTAACGGAACTATTTTTAAATATTGACAAAGACGTAAGTGATCAATTCACACTTGTTATGGAAAAAATTAAATTAACATTTTTATATAAGTTTCTTAAAGACTTTAAGTGTGCTTAGTTAAGATACATGGTTTAAAAAAATATGTATTTATTCTAAAATGTATTTATCTAAAAAAGGCATTAAAAAAATAAAGACCTTTATTTATTTTTATTAAAATATAGTTAATTATACCTATTTAGTCTTATTTAACACAGTAAAAAATAAAAAAAAATATTTTTTTTCAAAAAGTTTTTTGATTATTTCCTCAATTGATTCTCTAGGACCATATAAAACGCATTTAAAAAATAAAAACCGTTATGTTTTTCGATTTCCATATAGTTAACTATATGTAATAAGTCTTATTTAACAAAGTAAAAAATTAATATTTTTTTGCAATAAAAAAATTATTGGGTTATTTCCGCAATTGACGCTCAATGAACATCTAAAAACCTTATTAAAAATTAAAAACCTTCATGTTTTTTGATTGAGCTACAGTTAATTATAAGTAATATTCATTTTATAATACAGTAAAAAAAATTGATATTTATTTTTAATAAAAAAGTTGTGAATTATTTCTGCAAAACAGTGATTTATGATAATCTAAAAACGCATTTAAAAAATAAAAACCTTTTAAATTTTAACCATTAAAAAAATAAAAAAAGAAAATTTATTTGTAATAAAAAAGTTATTGAATTTTTTCCGCAAAACGATGCTTTTTGACCATAGGAGCAAAAACACTGTGACCTTAAAAATTAAATACCTCCTGCAATTTTGCGAATTCAAAGGAAAATTTGTCTTAAAATTTTAAGAGGAATTCACCGTGGGGCGGCAATTTTGGCAGCCTTAGAAAATAAATAACTCCTGCAACTATGTGAATTTGAAAAAATGGTAAAGAAAAATTTGTCTTGCCATTGGAGAGCCAATTTTGGAACACCCTGTATATATGTGTTAAACAGAATTATCATGAGTTATGTTATGTGAAACTTTAATGATTCTGTATGAAAAATAAAGTAAATTTTATTAATTACTTATATAAAAGTATATCTGCAGCTTGCAACACAGGATAAATAAACAATCCTAAAGGAATATCTCTTAAGCTGGCAGACTTTTCTTTATAGCAAGGTAGGTGAGCCAACCTGGAAATAAATCAATTATTGACTCATTTCTTTTAAATTCACAACTATTTGCCTTGCCATTGTTGCAACACAAGCTAAATTCCAACAAAGCTCTGTGTGTTGGTGCACTGTAGATTGCTGAAATAATGTCACCTTTTCTGGGTCTATCCCACAACCCAATAAAGTGGCTGTCATTTCAAGTATATTTTTTTCCAACTGCTTGGGATCCTTGAAAATTATTATTGATTTTTTGTTACAAAAAATTATGTAATTCTTACGTGTGGTAAAGTCATAGAATGTAAATCCACGATACTAATTAACATGTCTTCATTGTTATCCTGCATCTTGACCCATTGTGCAATAGCTCCTAAATAATTACCCAAGTGAATTTGTCCTGTGGGTTGAATACCAGAGAATATTCTTCGGGGGTAAGTAACTTTTGCCTTAAATTGTTTAATTATTTCATGATAACACCCCAATTTTATATTACGTTTGGTTTTGATGAAAAGGTCCTAATGCCATTGTTTAATTTATTTCCTATTGTTCGTATTTGTCTTTGAAACATTGTTTTTGTAATTTATTTTAAAATTATTTTGAGGTTATTTGGTTAAATAGAAATTATTTGTAGTGATGATATTACATCGAATTTTCGTTGTTAGATTATACAGATCCGTATTAAGATAAAATTATTATATTATTCAAATTCCACGTTTTTTCACAAATTCAAAACAACCAGTTGTTGTCTTTGAAACATTCTTTTTGTAATTTATTTTAAAATTATTTTGAGGTTATTTGGTTAAATGGAAATTATATGTAGTGATGATATTAAATCGAATTTTCGTTGTTATATTATACAGATCCGTATTAAGATAGAAGGCATTTAATTATTCAAAATCCACGTTTTTTTCACAAATTCAAAACAACCAGTTTTTGTTTTTCAAATTTTGCGAAAATTCGAAGTCAAATAATTAAAAAAATAAATCTAAAATGTTATCATGTCTGTTGAACCTAGCCTAAATAATGTAACAAAATCTTACAAATCTTACAAAATATATGGGTGACGTTCACAATATCGAAATTCATTATATCGAATTCAAAATATCGAACACTTTTTATCGAAAATCAAAATATCGAAAATACAAAATGTCGAAAATCAAAATATCGAAAATTAAAATGTCGAAAATGATAATATCGAAAATTAAAATGTCGATTTGAAAATGTCGAATAATTAAAATTTCGAAAATTAAAATGTCGAAAATGATAATATCGAAAATTAAAATGTCGATTTGAAAATGTCGAATAATTAAAATTTCGAAAATTAAAATATCGATTTAAAAATATCGAAAATTAAAATGTATGATTAAAATCGAAGTGTATATGTACAGAGGCGCCTCTGTAGATAAAGTTACGGTTATGCACCGAATTATCTTGGCTCCCTGGCTCCTAGAGATGCGCGTTTTATAGAAATGTACTCAAACTCAACAACACAACCCAACCGACCCCGCCCCATTGGCCCCCCCCCGCCCCATTGAGCAAAAAACCCAACTAAAATGGGCAAATTCATGTTACGATAAAAATAAAACACTTTTTAATTACATAAATTAGCCCATTTTAGTTGGGTTTTTTGCTCAATGGGGCGGGGGGGGGCCAATGGGGCGGGGTCGGTTGGGTTGTGTTGTTGAGTTTGAGTACATTTCTATATCAGAGGCGCCTCTGTACATATACACTTTGGATTATTAAAATAATATGTCGATTAATTGAAATATTTAAACAAAATATCAAATTCAAAATAAGAAAATATGGTTTAGTTTCACATTAATTGTAAAAATAAAAGTATTTGTATTTTCGACATTTTAATTTTCGACATTTTGTATTTTCGATATTTTGATTTTCGATAAAAAGTGTTCGATATTTTGAATTCGATAAAGTGAATTTCGATATTATGAACGTCGATATTTTATTTTCGATAAATTGAAAATTCGATTAAATAAAATTTCGATATTATCATTTTCGACATTTTAATTTTCGATATTTTGATTTTCGACATTTTGTATTTTCGATATTTTGATTTTCGATAAAAAGTGTTCGATATTTTGAATTCGATAAAGTGAATTTCGATATTATGAACGTCACCCAAAATATATTAATATATATATATATATATATATATATATATACATGCACGGCTATCAATACGAAGCCCGGTGCATTACACTGGCTAGTCGAAGCCCGGTAATGCGGGACGGGGCGGTTAACTGTTCGTTGGTGCATAAACAACAAGAGACACACTTCGCTGTATATCAGAAGCCCTGCGGCGTTGCCAATGTCTAAATTTATAATTATAGGCAAATTTGATTTAAAATACCTAGACTATACCTAAACTTAACCTATATTATTAAATAATGACGTAGGTATACTTAAATATTTAATAATATTGTTGAATTATAACTTTTATAATAAAAATTATTATAATAATAATTATAATAATTATAATTATTATTAATTATAAGTTATTATTTAAAAATATTGTCTAAATTTATAATTATAGGCAAATTTGATTTAAAATACCTAGACGATACTTAAACTTAAAAATATTCTTAAATAATGACGTAGGTATACTTAAATATTTAATAATATTGTTGAATTATAATTATTATAATAATAATTATCGTTAAATTATAATTATTTATATTATAATAATTTAAAAGTATTGTTGAATTTAGGTACCTATAGGTATAAACATTTCATTTATTTTGTTTATACATCATAATTTTGAAAAGGTTTAAATATCTTATACAGGGTGCTCTACAAGCTCTATGGCAAACTTTGTCAGATGATAGCTGGGTTAATCATAAACATTTTTTCTTAAATGACATGGATGCGATTCGTTTTTGTTTAAAAGTTAAGCCTTTAAAAATATATTTCCATATGTTAATAAAAATATACAAATATATCAATAATTATAATTATTATAAGAATTATTTAGGTAATTTTGTGTAAAACTTAAATGGGAATCAAAACAAGTGAAACTGACTGAATATTTTTTTCATGAATTATAAAGACATCTAGTTTTTTTTTTAAATTATTAGATTTAAATACACCAAAAATTCTAAAAAATCTAAATAATGACGTATACTTTAATACACTGCCCGACAAAATTATCGCATAATAAATATAAAAAAATTAACTCTAAAACGCCTTTACCAATCTTTATGAAATTTTTGATAAAAATACTTCAACTTATATCTCAATTTACGTGTTAGAGGGTTTTTCGAGAAAATATGTTTAAAGCCTTTTTATTTAATAATGAAAAAATGTTCGAAATATAACTTTTAGGGAATTTTTTTAAATAAATAAAAAATATGCTGTTAAAGAGCGTATTTTTTTAGTACACCCTAAAAAGTTTGTACAAATCAAACGAACATTAACGAAGATACAGCGCTTCAAAGTCGGTAAAAATGACGCCTTTTTGATTATTTTGCTGAAAAGTGGTCATTTTTCACGACTTTGAAGCGCTGTATCTTCGTTACTGTTCGCTTAATTTGTACAAAATTTTCAGGGTATACTAAAAAATACGCTCTTTAAGAGCATATTTTTTATTTATTTAAAAAAATTCCCTAGAAGTGATTTTTCGAACTTATTTTCATTATTAAATAAAAAGGCTTTAAACATATTTTCTCGAAAAACCCTTGAACACGTAAATTGAGATATAAGTTGAAGTATTTTTATCCAAAATTTCATAAAGATTAGTAAAGGAGTTTTAGAGTTAATTTTTTTATTTATTATGCAATAATTTTGTAGGGCAGTGTATTTAAAAATAGTGTGATTTATAATTATTTTAACAAAAACTATTATATTATTGAATGAATTATAAGTCATTATTTAAAAATATTGTCTAAATTTATAATTATAGGCAAATTTGATTTAAAAGACCTAGACCATAGTTAAGGAGCATCCGTGGAAAACCGGCTATATCCATTTTAATAAATGTTGGGAAAATTTAGAAAAACTAAACCAAATTAAAAGTTGAAAAATAAAAAAAATAAGTGGGGAAAATTGCTATTTAGTTTAGCATCCTATAAACAAGAAAAATGTATTACAAACCAAATATTGTTTTATAGCTACATTATAAAGTTAAAGCTGCCTTTTATCCAATAAAAATCGTAGATAAAATATTACTTTAACCAAAACGGTTGATAAAATAATATTGTAATGGTAAGTATAAATGGACAATCCTTATCTAAAAGGAACCAAGCGCCAAAAACTATTTTTGGACTTAAAAACATTTTTTGTAAAATAACTCATTTTTAATAATGCTCAAAAAGTTTCTCATTATTTAGAACTTCTTTTAAATTATTGAGAGGACTTTCAAATTATAATTAAGTTTTTGAGCAGCATTAAAAATAAGTAAGGTATATACAAATAAGTTTGTTAAGCTCCGAACAAGTTTTTGGTTCCTTTTAGATAAGCACTATCCAAATAAAGAACCCAATTTCTTATTGTTGTTTGGTCGTTTGGTCGTTGTTTGCCATGTATAAATAAATTGACCAGTTGTGAATGTTAATTGACAAATTGCCATGAGAAGCTATCTGTCAAAAAGCAGTTTTTGCAATTCAATGTTACATTAAAATGATATTTAATAAAAATAATTTTTAATTTATTTCATACCGCTATTGGAAAGTATTTAACAAAACATTGCCTTTTAATCCACGCCATGTAGTGAACAAAACATAATTTTGGGAATATAACATTTGTTTTGAAAATCAGTAGATAAAAATTTAAGAATCCCGCATTATTTTCCCCGCCTTCCTATCAAAAAGTCATCAAACGTATAGTCCCCATTGTTGCCAGATGTACGGGCTTCGTATACTGCGTAATACTTATACAAAGCTGTATATAATCTCGTTTGACTCGTGTGCCCCCTACCGCCAAAGCATTGGAACTAAGGGTGTATATTTTGATAGGTTTGAATGGCATTAGGAAGCCCACCACTTTTTCGCCATTGAAACAAGGGGGCATCACTTAACTCTAAAACAAATTTATACACGCTAATTTTAGGAAGCCCGATTTCGGGCTTCGTAAAAACCGAGTGGGCTTCGTTTATACTGTAGAATGTAACGTTTCGGGCTTGGTAATGTAGGATTGCATATATATATATATATATATATATATATATAATTTGTTTTTAATATTATTCTAATTAAATCCTAGCAAACATTATGGCCAAACGTCGCATGCAGATGTAGGGATCCCTACAGTGTAATAGATAAGTAGAAAAAAAATGTTTGGGAAATCTGTAAAAAATAACACTTTTACAGAAGTGTTATTTTTCATAGATTCTTTCGGAAATTCATCATTTGATGCCCTGAAAATATTTTCAATATTGATTAGGTGGCCATACACAGACGCGTATACGCGCGGTTTATCGTGTTATCTGCAAAAATATATGGAAAATCATGTACGTGAGTGAGTATCGCCTCGCGCAATGATAGAACGGGAAGGTATTTCAGACGTGCTTTCCTCTGGATTGTGGCGTACATCATTTCAGCAGTGTCCACACGCCACATTCCGCGTCACGTGACACTTTTTGGCCACTCACATACGATTTTTCCTTTGAAACTGATATCCTACGCGCAATCACTTGCTAAATCATTTGAATACTTTATCAAGTGTATGGAACATGACGCTTTTTTTGCCATGCCGTTCTTTCGTGCATACTAACCGCTACATCCCAACACGCCACGATAAACCGCGCAAAATAACGCCTGTGTATGGCCAGCTATTAAAACAGTAGGTATAATTTTTATGTAAATTCTCAATAAACAAATTTTTAGCACGTTTTAAAGTTTTCATTTTAAATTTCGTGGTGACAACTTAAGAAACACCAAAATTCATATGACAGTATAGTATACTGGTACCATAGTAAACCCTAATTTTGCTATTATAACATTAACAATTTATTTTATGTTGTTATTACTTTTTAATGATACCTACTTTAATTTGTAATAAAGTATTAATTTGTTAATAACAATATGTTTTATTTTTACTACATTGGCACCGCTAAATTGGCTGTCACGGCCTACTGTTATTTATTTATCAAGCTCTTCAAATGAAGATACTATAGGCATGGAGCCTACCCTGTGAAGGCTCTATGATCTTAAAACTGCGCGTTTTTTTTAACGACAGGTGACACACGTCAAAAATGATAGGGGATAGATTTTAAAAATGACAGGGGACAGATTTTAAAAATGACAGAGGACAGATTTTAAAAATGACAGGTGACAGATGTCAAAAATAAATCATAACCGATGTCAAACTTGGCTCATTTTTGACATCTAATATAGCTTAATTCTGACATTTGTCACCTGTTATTTTTGACACCTTTTAAAAATGACAGGGGACAGATTTTAAAAATGACAGGTGACAGATGTCAAAAATAAATCATAACCGATGTCAAACTTGGCTCATTTTTGACATCTAATATAGCTTAATTCTGACATTTGTCACCTGTTATTTTTGACACCTATCATTTTTTTAGCAGATAAACAAATTCCGATTACAAATCACCCCCTAAAAAAATGTTCACTTTAATAATGACGTGGAGAATTTAAAAATTACAATAATTAATTTTATCTTCCAGCGTTCTATAATTTAAGCTTTATTATTGTCAATGCTCACTACCAAACTATTCGATTATATCCTAGGCTGTAAAAATAATTTAGACCAATCAAGTGAAGTTTTTACATCCTAGTATGTAAAAGACCCGTAGAACCAACCACAAAATTCTTTATTTAATATCACTATCAACTATCTCTTTCTCTCCTAGGAGCTGTAAAATTGTTGTCATTATAATTTCTGGTGGCAGTTTTTTTGCTGGTAAGTGTATAAATCAGGTTTTATAAAAATAATGTTTAAATATTATTGGATAAAAGGTGTGGGAAAATAAATAAAACAAATCGATTAAAAGTCAATATGACTAAGGGAAGAATGTAGTCAGCCCTTTTTGTTTATTAAATTGAAAATATAAAGTGATAGACACATTGTTTTTACACATTAGATTCCATATAAATCTAGAAATTTCCCTCATACAAATGTTTGTATACGATACCAACACTAGTTACGAATCACTTATAAGTTGAACAAGGCACGCAAAAATAGTTTAGAAAACTTTTACAAATTTATATTTAAAGAGCTAAACATTTAAATTTTTTGAATCTGCACTGAAATTCGAAACAATTTAAGGGATCCCCAAAACTTAATTTCTGCATTACTATTAATTAAGTTATAAAAAGGTTTTAAAAGATTTGTCTACAGATTGTAAAATGTTATAAAATATTGTCAATTTTCAGTTCTAAATCTTAACTAATTCGTAAAATTGGGAACTCCATAAATTTCGCGAATGTCAGTGAAATATTAAATTAAAAAGTACTTATCAACTTCTCCTTATTCGTATCTATAATTTTAAGTCTCCTGACTGCAAGAGAAGTACAAAAATGGTACTGGCCAGTCCTGTTTGATTTTTAAAAATATTATTTATTAAACATTTCTGCCATATGTTTCATAATCCTTGTTACACACATTGCATAATTACATTTTTTAATTTACCCACTTTTAATCTAAAATAAATACCTACTCGACTGAAAACGTTTTTAAAATGAACTTTGTAAAATTTATACAAAGAGTAACGTTTTAGCACCTTAACACAATTTTAAAAATGAAACAAGACCTTAAAAGCTTAGTTCAAACTTCTGCATTTCTAGTTTTACCAAGTATGTTTTTGATTTGCAGAAATATGGGCTATTTTAATTAAAAATCTATTAAGTCTGAAATCATAAAACTAAATTCAGTTTTTTCTAACACTTACAACAATTTAATAATTCATATACAATAAGTTATTTGTGTTTGTTAAACCTTGTTTTGCGCTTAATAAAACTTGGGCTGACCTAATTTAAAAACGTGATACTTCTTTATAAGAGCAATACATAAATTATTTGAAAAAATCAACAACTTTTAAACATCTATAAACAGTTTAAAAATAATTTTATAATGTAGGTAAGCCTATAACAGTCTAATATACAAATTGTAAATTTTTTTTTTTTGAATTATTTTATATCAAATTAAATTAATTTAGCTAGATATTTACAAAAATTATTTTATAATTAGGTATATAATAACAAGATAATATATTATGTATAGATATGTTGGTAATTAATAGTAAAAATAAATAGATTTAGATGAGCTAGATTAATACTGGAATTATTTTAGTTTAGTTGCATTTATATATTCAACTATTTTATAAGTAGATAACAGCTTATAGACATAGAGAATTATAAAAAAGTATCACTAAACGACCAAATCTAGCACCACACATATAAAACAGAATAATTTAGCAACAAAACAAGATAGAACAAACAAAACAGATAAAATCTGAAAAAACTCCAACAGCAAAAAATGTTCCCAAAACACAGCGTTTTTTAATTACGACAAGATCAGGCGATTATACATAAATAATATAGTCGACACTTGTATACTTTGACTTTATTTTAACGACCGACCAACCAGTCTAAACCGACCAATAAGTTTGTGTTGTAAAATATGTCCAAGCATTTTTTTGTTTACTTAGTACAACGCGTAGTTGACCAAATATGTGAATCCTTTGACCTTTGACACGTCCGCAGGGACGCCGCTGCCGTGTACTATGTCAAAAGTTTGAAGAAGACGATGGCCAAGGAAATGTTGAAGAACAGCACTAGAATTACAAGCTGTTGCCGCGAAAACCAGTCCTAAAAACACAGACAAACATTTTAACAGCATTTATTTCATCATTGTTACATTTAAAGCCTTGTCCCTTTGAAAATTAAACAAAATATTGCTACTTAACTATGATTATATAATGGAATTTTTTTAAACCCCTCCTTGACAAAATCCTATTTTCGCCACTTGGTTTTACGCATTTTATTTCAATTCAAGCAAAGGTGTCCAAAGGTCAGATTTTGTTGATTACTATGGGTAAATCTGACTAAATTTAATGAATCTATCTTGACGATACTATATGAAAGAGTAATATCGATTTTATCCATGTTTAAATATTTTATGTGGAATGAGAAAATTCTTTAACTTGGAATTGTAGAAGTGCACGAACCACTCTCAACTTTGAGCTTTGGTACGAAACTTAATTTCTATCAAAATTTCAGTTTTTATCAATCGGAGACCCGAAAATAGGCGATTTTCTCATTCCGAGGATATTAAATTTTTAAAATATCAAGGAACATAATATGTAATTGGGCAAGAAAGATCCAATTCTTTTTTAATTATCTGGAATAGTGGTAATTTATGCAACAAGCTTTTCTAACTATAGTTATAGCTATAGCTAGAGGTAAGTGCCTTTATATTCAGGTTACATACATTATTATTTGTAATACCATAATATTTTCATAAATAATTACTAAAAATGTGAAGAAAAAATTTTACTCTGACATGTACGAGGTGTGTTCAGAATTTTCATTTTTGAAACAAATATTTATTTATTCGTCTACATTAATGTTGTCGCCTTTAAAATAGTCCCCATTGGATATTATGCACACGTGCCAGCTCTTCTTCCAATATTCGAAACACTTCTAAAACTCGATCTTTGGGATAGCCTTTAGTTCTTTCAGCGATGCGCTTTTAATGTCATCTATGCTTGCAAAACGACGGCCCTTTAAGGTTCTCTTTAATTTTGGGAATAGGAAAAAGTCAGACAGAGGCATGTCTGGCGAATATGGAGGCTGGGGCATCATTAAAGTATTGTTTTTGGCCAAAAATGTTGTTCAAAATTTAACAATTTTAGAACAAATTTTTCTGCCACGCGTTTCATACCCAAAACATTCGAAAAAATTTCATGGGATGAGCCAATCGATATACCAACATCATCAGCGACTTCTCTGATGGTTTATAACTATTTCTTCCACTTTTTCCATGTTTTTATCGGTTGTTAATGTGCTTGTGCGTTCGGGGCGTTCGTCACCTTCAACGTCTTCACGGCCATGTTGGAAACTCTTATACCACTTGTAAACTCTTGTTTTACTTATAGCAGACTCACTATAGGCCTTTGTTAACATTTCACAGAATTTATTTAATTTTTTAAGCAAAATTGGATACAAATTCTTTGATCCATTTTTTTAACGAACGAAAAATCGTCGAGCTCATAAAACACGTCTAACCTTAGCGGCTGCCACAGACAAAGTAAACAATGAAAACAGCTAAAGTTTTTATCATACTTCGGGGGCATGTATACCAACATAATAAAGAAAATTTTACGACAACCGGACCCTCCGAACCCGCGTAATTTAACAATTCCCGTTATTTTCTGAACACACCTCGTATGTACCATAATATGTCACACCTTTTTTTAAATTTATTTAAGGAATACATTGTATATGGATACTTTGGTTTGTAGATATAAATTTTAAAAACTAAACAACAATATCAAATTAAAAAAGAATTATTTGTTTAAAAAATTTTTATACAAAAAGTATAAAGTTTTAGAATTAATGATACCTATATGATTTATAGAATATGTTCTGCAAAATCCGAAATTTTCAATACAATTTTGAAATAAAAAATACCCACAAATCATTTTTTTCATGCCACAAACAAAAACAATCCAGTCAAAAAATTGGACATGGAATGATCCATAATTTTTTAAAATTTTGTTTAGTTTTCTGTTTCTGTATCAAAACCTAATAAAAAATGTTTATCCATCGGACACTATCGCTTGAATGAATGAAAGCTGATTAATTAAACGTAATTTAAACATGTAAACATGTTTATGCATGTATATGCATATACACTTTGCTTGCAGTAATGTGAAAAAAGTCTAAAGTTTAAATTAAAAAAAATTACCAAGGCTATAAATATTCTACTTTCTCTACTTACATAAATATTTACATTTTTATTAATTAATATATAATACAATATTATTGTGTGTGGACAAAATTATAAAAAGTATTGATAACAGACGTTTAAAAATTTAATAATATAATTTTATCCCTGCAATAAAAAAAATATTTGGGTACACATGAAGCATTGTTGCAGCAGCCATAATATTAACTTGATACAATTTATCAAACAAAATAAACCAGTAAAAGTAGTATATTTGAATTTTTTAACATAAAAACATACACATTTATTTTAAATTATTATTAAATTAAATTTTTTTTTTTTTCTACCTACCTGTACTTATATTAAAATTTAAACTTTAAATTATAAACTATAAAGATCGTTATTGTTTGACAAATTACATCATTATTAAAAAAAATCGTGACCACAGGATAAGGAACAATGCAAATGAAGCTATTTTCTAAATAAGCACTCTAAGCAGTTTTTATTAAATAAAAATCAATATAAATGATTTTGGAAAATTTTTCATGAAATATTACTATTAATATATAATATAAAAGCTTTCTAAAAGCAGCAAGGCAATAAAGTGCATATTTTAACGTTGGACTCAACCTAGGTAATTTACCAAGGGGACAGACATCGGTAGCAGCCCACTAAACAGCCATTTTTAAATAACAAACATACATAAACAGGAATTTTCGTACAAAATCGACAAATAGTACTGCTTGATATACGTTCCGAAAATATCGCACTAACGATATTTCATGCTGTTTAAGAACTTTATTTAACTTTACTTGGATGTGTAATATAGTACAGTAAGAATAAATGGTTTTCAATATACAGGGTGGCCCATCGAAAACAGTCCAACAAGGTTTACGGCTTTGTCTGTAAAAATACTGAAATTAATGTGTAAATATGTCCCCTTGAATACAAACATTTATTTTCACAAATTTTACAAAGGCGTAAACCTTAACTGTTTTTGATGGGCCACCCTGTATAATACCCATAAAATTATGAACATTTAAAGTTTCAACTGGCACTCCAGGTCACAGTCTTCATTAACAATTGTTTTTAGGTGTGTGTTATTTCGACTTGAAAAATACACAGTGCGCTGCAGGGTTGTCGAGTTTTTTAAACCAAAATGCCTGATAACACAAAAACTTCGCGTCGGAAAAAAACTTTTTATTTACTTTTTTATACCGTTAGTGCAATATTTTCTGGACATGGTCTAAATATTCGAAATGATCTTTATTAAAAATACCTTATAAGGTGTAATAAGCTTATTATATGTAAAAACATAAACTATAATCAATTTTTTTAAATTAATTTTTACACCCTGTATCCTTTAGACCTATCCATAAAATTATAAAACTTTACCTCTACATATAGATACATTGATTGAAAGTCGTGATTTAAAGCATAAACATAAAGATATTTTACCACATATTTTTTTCTATTAATATTAATTAATATTAATTAATTATAATGTATACATTTATTACAAAATACATATTGGTAAACATTGATGAAAAGAAAAATTACGTTTTAAATCCAAACTTTTAAATACAATGTATATTATATTATACATACATATGTATTTAATTTTATAAATTTATGGTTAGGGCCTAAGTGTTTTTTGCCTTTTTTTAAATTGGGTTCTTTTTTTTATAAAAATATATTTTATACATTTTTTTTCTTTAAATTTAAAAATAAAAGAGAGTTTTTAAAATAGTTTAAAAAAGTAAGGAAAAATAAGGACAAAAAATATGTCAAAACCCTAACTTGTGTAATTTTGAATAATTTGTCTTATTTATTTTGACGATATTTTTTTTAATTTTAGATGTAAGTCATGTTTTATAAAAATACAAATATAGTACATTTTGTAAAAAATTCCTAGCCTTGCGACAATTTTTGTTTAAAATTATAATATTTTTTTGGAAAGCTGAGAATTTTTTCGATAAAATATGCCATTTTCACGATGAGGTTATGAAAAAAAATAAATAATAAAGCAATTTTGGGTCTAATTAACGCCAATTTTGTCATATTTTTTAAAAATAATACAATATACGTATTTTAATACAAATACCTTATTTTATTTCACAAAAACAGAAATGTATTATATAATTTTCAGATAATAAGGCAAAATTGGCATTTATTTTACATAAGCGTAACCTCAATTATTTGAAAAAATGACTTACTATTGCTATATTTAATTTTATTTAAACAAAAAATAACCACATCGTGAAAATGACATATTTTGTTTAAAAAATTCTCAGCTTTTCGAAAAGGCCATTTTTCACTTTAATTTAAATTTGAGGGTTTTCCGTTTCTTTTAATAATAAGATATGTTCACAATTCTTATAGGTGCATAATTCGTGCTCATTGAAGTTAAATGCCAGAAACTCATTTATGCTATTATAGCTATAATAGAAACAATGTGTTAAAAAGAGTTCTTTCACTTCGATTTTAAATTTGTTTAAAGTAAATTTTTTACATTTGTTATTTAAACGGTTGGATAACCCATAAATTGTGCCCTACACTTTTCAAGAATGAATATTTGTATTGTAATGCTAGGAATTTGTTACAGTACTGTTTGTAATCATACAAAACATTTACATAAAAAAAAAATCACGAAAAAGTAAAATAAAAATATCGTTAAAATTACTTTATATTAATATTAATGAATTAATCTTTAGTTAGTCATTATTATAATGGAGAAAATAACTCCACAAAATTTTTTAAAAAATCCGCAAAGCCCACCCTAAAAAAAATTTGGTGAATATTTATTGAGCAACAATTTAGAGTAAATTTAACGAATATGTTTATTCGATATTTTTCCAGCGTTTAGATTTTGACCCATATGTAAAAAAACAATTTTGATTACAGCCTATATTTTTACACATTACAAAGTATGTGTAAAAAATTATCGAGCATTTATTTTGACGATTTGGCAAGAAATGGCAAATGTCGAAATTTAACCAACAAAAAATATTATTTTTTGCAAAAATGGTGAATGTTCCGGTATTAATTTTAATTTGTATTGTATTTTTCATTGTGAGTGACACGTTAGCAAATCCATGGTATTTAAAATATTTGATGTTATGCCAAATAATACTTTTAAAGTAATATATGCAAATACAGTTTTTTTTAGTTTTATTCAACGAACTTAGTGTTTGCGTCATCACACTAATGTTCTATTATTTAAAAAAAATCACGGGATATTTTTAAAACAAAACTTTTAGTTAAATATCGACACAGGCTTAAACAGTACTGAGGTTACATGAATACTAAAATAAATCAGCATCATCAATAGATAAAACAGTATCTATGTCTAACATACCTATCGGATCTCTGTAATGCGATAGCAAGGAAAACAAAAGAATTACGAAAGGTTCATTTCATGTTTAAAGTCAGTTTACCAATGGTTTATCATCCACTTTGCTTTAAATGGGGCAAAATAAATTTTATATGAAGCGTTTTGCACCTCATTTATTTATACGTTTGTTTTAAGAGGTGATTTATGAAATGTATGTAATGTATGTAATGTATGGCTATATCTATAGCTTTGAATCAGGCAACAATGAATTGACTCAAATTTTGTTGATAGTTTAGTATTAACTTTCCATATTTTACCATACTATATGTAAAAGCACCTAAAAACACTTAAACAGATTTTTTTAGGTTTCTAATAAATTTGAGTTTGTGGAAAACATCATTCAAAAAAACAATTTTTGTATAAAAAAAATTACGTCGATTCTTTAAACCATCACGTTGAGTTGAGGGCGACTGAAGATGCTGGGATAGGGATTGAAGTTTGGAGTAGTAGTAGTAGTGCACAAAGAAGTCAAGTTTAATCTTCAATACGAAACCTTATTTTTAATTTTTTTGCTTTTATACTTTTGTCCAATGCATTTGTAATTTTTATAAATATCTTAACATTCAATATTTTATTATCTTAACAAAGCTAAACAAATATTATTGGGCATGTAGTCTATTTTTAATTAAAGCGATGTTAATTGTAACTTTTATAAAATAATAATATGTTGTATTATACAACTTGTATATATAATATATTATATATATTGTAACTTTCAGAAAATAATAATATAATATATTTAAAAGTATCTATGTTATCTGTATCTGTTACACATTTAGTTTTATGTTAGGCACCCGTCGATTTTAAATTAAAATTCCCACTCAAATCATAAAAATAAAAATAATCAAAACAATGAAAATGCATTAAGTTTTATTTAGATAAAAAATAATATTCAAAGCGTTATATATCATAATAAAAACATAAATATTTAAAGTCAAAGGATTTTATTTATATATTATATTTATATTTGTACTAATTAGTCAGCATTTATTGTTTACTTAATATTGTTATACAAACAAACAGTTTAATTGCTATTTAAATAATTGTTTATTATAATCGTTACCTCCTAATTATTATTTTTGTCACATTTAGTTTGGAAAAATTATTTATATTTATTTATTTTAAGCACTTAGCGGAAAACCTACATGCCAAGTCTTCCTGAAACAGGTGTTAAATGATTTAAAAAAAGTACTTTAAGATAACATTAAAAAATGTAAAGGATTTAAAAAACTGAAAAATGTTTTAACATAGTAATAGATTTTATGAATTTAAATAAATTTACAAGTTAAAAACAAATATTTTGCATTAATTTAAATAAAATTAATTCGCTTAATAAATAATTAATATTACCGCAGTGCTGTGAATAGCTAGCTGAAGCGTTTTTTTCTTCCTTTTTCGCGTGATATCAGATTTGTATAAAGCTCTTTTTAATTAACGACCCATTTTAAAACAAAGTGCGTTCTTTTGTTTAATAAATTACGACGAAATTAAATTTTAAAGAAAGCTTTGAAAAGCACGTTCTAAAACAATTGGCTTACTGACTTAATCAAGATTAATATGTTCTACTTTTTGGATAAACCTAGGTAAAGTCAAACTTAGGGATAGTGCGAAAGGCATTAGTAGAAATTTAACATGTCATCAGAAAAAATGGGCTTTATTGATCAAAAATTTAGCGGATCATAATTAGTTGCATTAGTTTTTAATTAATAAAGCTTTATATTGATTATTTGGTTTTACCACTTCAAGAAACGTATCTGCAATATGGATTAATTTTATATAATAAGATAATTTGGGAATTTGTTAAATAATTACATATTGTAAAATACACATGAGGTGTTTCGAATGTAAAGAATTAAATATAGAAAAAAAAGACTTTCTAATAATAATTTTAAAGGCCCTGGTGTTGAAATTTCCCAAATTAGCATACGATTTTTGACGTTGAAAGAAAAATTTGATCTAAGTATTAAAAAATAATCTACTTTAATATTAGGTTACGTAATACAATTTTTCGAGAAAAATTCATTTGTTTATTAACAACTCGCTGTGGTTCTAAGGAAAAATAACAGACCAATTACTTAGGTAGTTATAATGTTATGTTACTCTATGGCGCTATAAACTATCTCTATTTCTATCTATCTATCTCAATCTCTCCTGCCTTTTAAAAATAAAAAGTAAAAAATATAAAAAAGTTAACTTAGGTTTAAACAAAGTCGGATAATAGAAAACTGCCCTTACATTTAATTTAATATCGGTTTGTTGAATTTAATTCAATAATTATTCAAGGGATCCTAATATACCGGGTGTATCTGAGAATAGGCGCACCCCTGTAACTTTTTTATTTATGAAGATAGACACATGAAATTTAGCATAGTTAATTAGAATATAAAATGTCACTTATAACTTATAAGTTATAAGAGTAAAAAATGAATTTTTTGAACTTCCGGTTTCGCCGGAAATGATAACAACTTTCGATTTTTTAATAGAACGCCCTATATATTTTTACATATTTAGAATCCTGAGAAAATTCTGAGTCGAATAGCATCCTCAAATTGACCTTTCGACGTTTCGTCATCAGAAAATGCATCATCGTAAAGATCAATCTAGAGTGCTTTGAACTATTTGAGAAAAACGAATTTTGACAAGTTTAGACTGCTGGGAATAGCTGAATAACAACTTTCTAAGGCAAGTTCCATTTTTTCAGGCATTGTGCGAATCCATTAGAAGAAAATAAGATAGTTCAAAGCACTCTAGATTGATCTTTATGTTGATATATTTTCTGATGACAAAACGTCAAAAGTCAATTTGAGGATGCTGTCTGGCTCAGAATTTCCTCAGGATTCCAAATATGTAAAAATATATAGAGCATTCCATTTAAAAATCGAAAGTTGGTATCATTTCCGGCACAAAAATTTATTTTGTACTCTTATAAGTGGCATTTTATATCCTAATTAACCGTGCTAAATTTCACGTGTCTATCTTAATAAATAAAAAAGTTACAGGGGTGCACCTATTTTCAGATCTACCCGGTATAAATATATTTAAATTAAATGTTTTTAATTATCCAATTTTGTTAAAATTTGTGAAGTTTTCATTTAGCCAAAAATATTAATTTTAATATTCAGTTTTTATTTACTCGGTTTTAAATAAAATAAATAATGAAATGTAGGAGCAGTTTCCAATTATGCAGTTTTTAAATACACGAAATTTTTATCAAAATCAGTTTACCCTTTAAAAAATGGCGAATGCACTGGAATTAAAACTGAGGATCCCAATTTACCCCATAAGTGTAAATTTTCAAAAAATACTTAGCGGTTATCCATGTCACATAAAAGGAACGCACTGTTAAATTTTGATATTTAAAATTTCAGCTCAAGGAAAATTTATTATTGTATTATTTCTGCACCGTTTGATTAAAAAATCATTATCTAATAGACTATTTAAAAAAAAATGATGTAAATATTAGACTGTATTAATAAATGAATGCAATGAACAATAACCTTCTCATTATGGTGCTATTTGTCATTGTTACTAATTTATCATTTTTTAATAAATAAATGGTGATTATGCGGAATTTTTTCAAGATGTTTTGGACCAAAATTCATTAAAAAACTAGTAAAAAAATCATTTTAAAATATGAACACCATACTTTTGTGGTTTTAATATTGATCCTGTATAAACGTTATTTCTATTTGCTCAGTGGCGCCGATTTTATAGCGGTTAAACGATTCATTCAGGAATGATTTAAAAAAATAAGTAATTTTAATTTAAAAGTATTCATACATTTCGGTTGATATATACATAATTTTTTTAAATTTAAATATACTTCTAATTGTAAATAACTACGATCCAGTAGGTATATTAAATCTAATCAATTACGTGTTGTTTGTACTACACATATATTAAACTAATTAAATTAATTTTACAGAAAGGGGATTTAACAAACAAAATATGTGTTCAAATTTTCTAAAGATGCATTAAAAAGTTTAAAAAATAGTTATTTAGTATACAGTATACAATCGCCGCTACTAATCCAATTAAATTAAAAAATGCACAGAATCAAGATCATTAATATATAAAACTTGTGTTAAAATAATATAATGATATATGTATTTTTTTTTAATGAAATAAATTAAAGAATAGCAATATAACGAGGAGGTTGTATCTCTAAAATCTTTATCAATTTTTATTTTTTAATCAAAAATGTTAATAAACAAATTAATTTTTCTCAAATTTTTTTATTCCATAATTGGTATTAATCAGTAAATTATTTTTTCTACGACCACTATGTAAAGGTCACATTTCGTATTGGCATCGTTGCTTAGAAAATGAATCTTTTCATTGACAAGGCAAAACACGAATGTAAAGTGACATTTCTGTGTGAAAACTGACAGGTCTGTGTGAAAAGAAATTGACAGCAACGTTTGACATTCGTTTCAAAATTTGTATTGTATTTATATATGTATGTCTAAATATCATTTAGAACACAATTAATTGTGTTTGTATAATAAATTCCAGTTTTTAGTGCCTTTATTTAAATTGAGGAGGTAAGTTTATTGATTTTAAGTAACTTATACCTTAAAAATTAAAAAGATGAAAGAATTTTAAAAGCTGTCAAACACGTTTTTAGGTTATTTTGTTTTTTATTTGAATATAATAAAAAATAAAAGGGTTGTAGAAAAAACATTGTGTTTCACTTGTGAGAAAAGCTTTCTTCAAGCTCGGGTTAATGCACACTCGGCCTGAAGGCCTCGTGATCAACTTAAACACTTGCATGAAAAAGTCGCTTTTCAACACTTGTAAAACAAATAACTAGTTCAAATTTTTCTTTCAACGTCAAAAATCCTATCCTATCCTCATTTGGGAAACTTCTACTCCCTATCGATATTGAATTTTTTTCATTTAAATATATCGTTTTTATTTAAAAAAAAATTCTATTTGGCTCCCTCTTGTCTAAATATCTCGTAAGGCTTATTTTTTAAAAGTGTCCACAGACTCAAAGCTTATCTTTTAATACCGAAATGACCATTTAAAGACCAAAAATTAAATTTTTAAAAGGTTTTATTAGGTAATATTAATAAACGCAAACAATTGATCGGTATGAAATTGTCTTATTATGCAAACTTAACCCATATATTTTGCATTAAACAAAAAATTAAACCTACAAATCGAAGTCAAATTAAAGGTTTAATTTCCTCATTATATAACATTTAATGGTTTTAACTATATTTTCTTACCTTTACTTGCGGACTGACCAAATAGAGAAGTGGATTGGCACGGAGTCTTTCTTGCTCGTTGAGTTGTCTTCTGACTTCTTCGCGGCGCGCCGAACCCAAGGCCGATACTTCCTCTCTGGGCATCGCGCCGATAACACGCGGCAGCTCTTGCACGTCGGGCAACGATTTTTTCCTCTGCAACGACGTTTGGCTCACCAGGTTCTAAAGATTACAATCACAAACAAATAAATAGTATTTTCTACTCCCATTATCGTATATGTTTTATGACGCTTTTAAATACAAATTGAGAAGCTGTGACTCCATGGCGTTTTAGTTACTGGCTGAACTAAGCTTTAAGTTAGTTGACAGTTGTCAAATGTCATACAATCTGTCAAATGCACGGTCTTATATCCAGGTCATCCAGGCCGTGGGCCTCTAATACAAATTAAAAAAGTGGAAACTTATTTTTTAATATCATCTACTAGCTGGTTAACAAACTAGGAGAACAGGATGGTATAGTCGCTAAAAATTTGCAAGTTTCCTTTCACAAACTTCAAGACATTCTTATTTTTAGTAGTTCTACATGTTTATATATGTAAGTAGTTCATTTCACTGCTCTCTTGCCTCGCAGCGCCTCCTGGATTTACTAAATCGACTATAACATTCTTTAGAAATAGAGTGGCGTAATAAGCACCCCCGCAGACCCCGCACCGCGGGGGGGCCCAGACGGTCGGGGGGCCCAAGGCGTTCTTTTTCGAAACTAAAAATAGTGAAAACATATCTTCGTAACACTATGGGAAAACAACGTCTTTGTAATTTATCAATTATTAGTATTGAACATGAGTTTATTAAGACATTAAACATTGACAATATTATAACTGAATTTGCAAAAAAAACTCTAGAAGATCAGACCGTTTTTTGTAGTAAATCTATAAATACTTAGACAATCGCATTTTGTGTTTATGTTTTTAATTTTTTTTTAATTTAACTTCTTTAAGACTGTCTACAATATGTCTTTAATTTTTTTTTCAAGACTGTTTAAACTTGGTAAGATATGTATACATTTTTTAAATTATTATTATTTTTAAATAATTAATAATAATTATTGTTATTATTGCTGATATAATAGTATAATACTGCCGTTCTAAAGGCAAAATTTGGTAATAAGAACAGAAAATGTTTAGGTAATTATTATTTAAATATTTTTTTAAAAGAATCTTAATAAGATATTATATATTATAGAATTACGAAAATGATCCTGCATATATATAAAAAGGTATATAGAATAAGATATTTTTAAACCAAAATTAATTAAATATTTTATGTTTTACTACCAAAAATTGCAGATACAGCAATTTTTCTTACCTAATCCTTTTTTATTTGCTTATCGTATACACTCTATACCTACCTGTCAAAAAATTTAATTTAAAAAATATTATGTATTTAATGTAGGTTTAAAAGTACTATGATAAACTATTTTAAAAATTACCTATTAAATAAACTTTTTAATTATTGTAAAGAGGGCCCATTAAAATGGTTTGCGGGGGGGCCCACTCAGAATTTGTTACGCCACTGGTATAAATCGTTTTATAAACTTCTCTAGACACCTGTTAATCAAATACTCACTATAGCGTACCTATACGCAAGCTACCCTTAAAATGCTGTTTAATCAATTGGTTGCTATGCGAAAAATAATTGTCAATGTTGACGTTTCTAATTTTAAAATAAAAATGTTAAAAAAATCATACAGAAATTGTAAGTATGGTTAATTTTTGTAGTTCCATTTGGAAATTTTAATGCTTATAAATATTTAAATAAAACATTATGTATAAAACATATTATGTATCAAGTTTTGTAAACGCCATTTTAGTTACGAGTTTAATTAAGAACGAGCGAAGCTTGCGAGCGAGTTTTTAATAAAAACGAGTGTCTAAAGAAGTTTATAAAACGAGTTGCATACTATACTTTATCTACGACGAACATAAATAAAATTTTAAAGACAATTTTATTTGTTAAACATTTGACATCCGTCAACTGTCAACGGATTTAACCTCACTTTTTCCCAATTAATATTAAAGCTAACTTCAGCCCGTGACTAAATTGACCAAAAGCCACTGTTGCTAACTTCAGCCCGTGACTAAAACGCCATAAAGTCACAGCTTATCAATGGTGGAGTAGATAAAAATATTTTTGAAAAAAAATTTTGATTTTTATTAACTCAAGATTTTTCCTTGGAGGCCTCCCTAAAAAATCGAAAAAACACAATGCTATGTAATATTTTTCAACAAAATGCATTCGTGCAGATGCAAAAATCCTCGTCTTCGACTCGGATTTTTGTTGCCACCAGAACTCATGCTTCTTGTTAAAATATTACTTAGCAACGTGTTTTATTGACTTTTTTGGGAAAATTAAATGCCCTTGTGATAAACGAGTGGTTATATTATAACCACTCGTTTATACGAGTTGTATAGCTAACTGGTTTCTATGCAAAAAATAATTGTCAATGTTGACGTTTCTAATTTTAAAATAAAAATGTAAAAAATATGCGTTTTGGTCAAAAAAATCATACAGAAATTGAATCGGCAGTTAATTGAAATTAAAAAAAAATATTCGTGAAATAGTCTTGCCGAATACCACTCGTGATAAATTTTTTTTTGATTTTTATTTACTCAAGATTTTTCCTTGGAAATTCCGCTCGTGGCATTAATTTAAAACCACTTGCCTAGCGGCCCGTGTCCTCAAAAATAGGCATATATAGGAATTTACTTTATTTGTTAAAACTATAACTAAAATTTAAATCTATTTACAAAAATCGCATTCTCGGCTAATTGTTGTTTTTCATTTGTAAGGTATACATGATGTATAATACATCTCTATGTATGCATTTAAGGCATATTTCTTCCCAGCCAACGATTTTATTATGTCCTGAATAAAGTCACGTGGTGTCAAATCTAGAGAATACGGAGGATGTGGCAGCAATTCCCAGCCCAATTCCTGATAATTCCTGGTCTTGGTAAAACATGATTTTTGTCTTTACCAAATCAGGATGTTTTTTCTATGTAAATGTTCATGCAAAATCGTAATAGCAGATCCAGTTTTAGCAATAAGAATACGTTGGTGAGAGCCCCCATAATAACTTTCAAAATTATTTCTTCCAGTTAAAAAGCCTTGCTTAATAAAGACAGGAAATTGACTTATTTCATGGTTTTTTGAAAATGCAAAAATTGCTCGAAACAAAGCTTGTTTAAAGGATGGTTCTTGTCAATCGTGCAAACAATTCATAATTATGTCGCCATCTTTTGTAAGTTCTAATTTGTCCAAAATAATTATTAAAAAAAAATTAAAATTAGTTTTATTACTATTTTTATTATCCTTTTCAGATTTATTGACACTTAGCTTGAGTTTGAAGCTATTTGGCCATCTCAGGTCCATGGACATGCATGTACACAGAATATTGGCTTATCTAAACTATCGTAAAAAAAAGTTTTCCTGTAAGTACGCAAACTAAATTTTAGTCACCTTGAAAAATATCACAAATATCCTTTTGGACAGACCAACAAAATTTAATAGAGTATAGGAGAAACTTTGATAATAGAAGCAGATATTTCAAAGACGCCTTAAAATTGAACTGAAGACATTCTGGTTATTGACCTTCAGCTGCTAAAAAATTCTGAAAGCATCCCTACAACCTGCCTTCTCAACGCATCTAAATATTTATGTAAAAATAAAAATATGTATTTGTTTGTCTATTTTCTAACCTAGGTAGGCTAGATACAAATATAACAACTGCAATAGTAGCTTATAATAAGTAATTATACTAATGCACACAGCTTATTTAAATATTTTGCCAAAATTAAAATATTTAAAAATTACATGGTACGTGTAAAGGTCAAAATAATCGTACAGATTTTGTACAGCAAAATAATATTAAAACAGTTCCTTTAATGTTCGGTATTATTAGATACCAATATTTGTGGTATTTGCCAAAGAATAGTAAAAAAAGACAAAAACAGTTTAGACAAATACTTATATTTTTGTATTAAGAAAATCGCGTTGTTGAAGTTCGTCTCTTTTTTATGTTGCAGACCAAAAAGTTTTTGAATTTAATCGAAATGCCGCGGCACCTGAAACGATTTTTATGATATTTTTTTTTAATAATTAAAATTAAAATTATGCAGATTTAAAGATAACATTACATAAAAAAACCCTATTGACCATAATAAATTAGTTGTAAAACAGGATATTAGTAGCCACCTGGTGGTATTGCCTAATATTTTCTCAGAAAAAAACAATGATTCATTACTTAAATCAAAAACAAGGACATTTGTAAAAATCACACAGCCTATTTTTCTTAATATATGAAAAGCCAAAAATCGAGAAATACCGACCTCTGTTTCCATCAATAAAATTTGCAAAAAAAAATTGTCACGGTAAGTGCGTAAGAGCGCAAAGAAGAGATCCTATACCTCGATAGGTGGCGTCTCAATCCAGCTTTCCGAGGCTCTGCGAGCCATGAGGGCGGGGGAAAACATGAGGTCCTCCTCGTCGTCATCCTCTTGATACCACAGCATTTTGTTCGTTTGTTGTTTCGTACGAAGTCGATGTCGGTTTTATTGCGACCGAACCGCGCACCGCTACTGTGGACTACGTTCTTAAAATTGCCGCTGATCCCAGCCCGCCCCGCGGACCCACGGACGCATTTAGACGCTGGCCGGTCCCCACTTACAAGACGCCGCACAGTGACAATTCATGCTAACTGTTTTAATTATTTTTCGAAAAATTTTAGTAGATTGTTTTTGAAAAAAAAATCCTTCTGCAATTCCTAGTACGTGACTATTTTATTTTATAAAATTCTATGCTCTCTATAAATGAATTAGGTAGTCAAAAATAACTAATTTAATAGTTATTAGTGGCTGCTTTTTCACTTGTACCATGGTTAACCATGGAATACCATGGTATCACAAAATTTAACAGTCAATTCATATGTATAATTGTCCCCTGAATCCGAAAATACCGTCAACAATTATGAAAGTGGAGCAGTTTTTAAGATATAGTCAATTCCATATTAAATCAAAAATTGACTATATCTCAAAAACTGTTCTACTTTTTAAACTTTTGACGACATTTTCAGATTCAAGGGAAAATTTTACATAAGAATTGGCTGTTAAATTTTGGGATACCCAGGTATTTCATGGTTAACCATGGTACAAGTGAAAAAGCAGCCACTAATAACTATTAAATTAGTCATTTTTGACTAATTCATTTTTAGAGAGTGGACCCTCAATTATTCTCTTCAGCTTTTTGTCAACTATGAAATTATTTTCATTTTCCCATTAATTTAAAAATAAGTCAGCTTATACAATTTAAAACTAAAAATATCGGGATTTGCTTTATAAACACCTTAGACAAGGATATGTCTTTGATAAATTCTACATGGACGTCTATAACTCATATTTGAAGTATGTAATAAAAAAGGTGACATTGCGAGACGGGACAGCACGGTAAAACAGAGAACTACTCACATTTAAATAATATTTGACAAAACATCGTAAGCGACAAAACCTAAATTTTACAGGAGAGATTTTTTTTGTATGGGAGCTTTATTTTTAAAGTTATTTATCTGAAAACTGGTGAGGCATTATTTTATTAATGTAGAATTCAAATATTTAAGTTAGATCGAATCCAATCTAAAATTTTCATTAAATTTTGGTGCATACGATATTTTATAAGAACATCTTTAGGAAAATGTAAAAATAGTCTTGTCGCTTAAGTTACATTTACGTTACTTTGTGGCATATAGACTTGATGATTACTTTTGTCAAAACATTGTTAGCGACCACAGACCTGTGTTAGCGACATTTATTTTTTTACTTTTATTATTAAATAAAAAATAATTACAAAAAAATTAATTTATATTACCAACGATATTTTGCCAAACAATGTTTGAAAATGAAAATCTACATTAGCTTTCTTTGAAAAAAACGAACGATTTTTATTCACAAACCAGTATCTAACCCATGGAGCCTACACAAGGAGCCCGAACTTAATGTCTGTGCAAACCAACCTTTAGGGACATTTTTGACAAGATGACAAGCAATTTCAAAAAGTTGACAGAGAATCTAACCTTAAAACAACACAATCAACAATGAAATACGTCAAACTGACAACTTTCAGAAAGTAAGGTTAGTTGTTACTAAAGGCAGTTTTACATTTTGAAATCAACTGACTGACAGGTCGTTCGAAACTTTTTGGCCGTTATCTAACCGTTATAAATTTGAGTTAAATTATTTGACGTTATAACAACATACAATTACTACAAAAAACACTTTTAACGAACCACACTATAGTATACGTAAAAACAATTATAATTAGGATAACTATTAATAATGCAATGAAAAAAAGGAATTATAAGCTTTTGATCAAATAAAATATTGTTTTAAAACTTGGTAGAAATCACAATCCACATTGTGGATTGTGGTAGCAATCACCACGATGCAGGTATACCCACGAATAAACTGTTTAGAACGGGAATAACGCCTTGATAGATCAAGGCGGGAGCACAATATTATCGTAAGCGACACAATGTTAAATCGCAAACGCCATGTCTCGGAGTTGCTTACGATTATTTGTCAGGAACATATAGGCGCTTACGTTATAAATCGGTAACAAATTAAAAAGAAAAGGCGCTTACAATAATAAAAATATTCAAACTGACCAATATTAGATTCCAAAATTTGAATAACTATTATGTTAACATGTGCAGCTTATCGTAACTGACACTTTGATAAAATAAAAAGTAATTCAACAAAATTGTCGCTTACGATGTTTTGTCAAATAACCATCGATATGTGAAACTACTACTAAAGCTTAATTTTCATGTATCCGTTTGTCCGTTAGTCCGTTCATCCGGGAGCGCTCTTATTGGTCCAATTATAATTGGAAAATTATGACATTTTATCGGTCCGTCAAGTTTCAACTTCGTACGTCCGTCACTACACATCTGTTTTTGACGTTATTTTAAGATAATATATTTTCAATTCTTTTTTTATTTTTTCAATAAGATTGTAGAACGGAAATATTACGTTTGTTATGTGAATAATGTTCTACGGTTATGTTTTTATTTAAGAATAACGGAAAAAAAGAAAAGACAAACAAAAAAATTCAAACTAGAACTAAAAGGACCTGTTTTTTTTAAACTATACATTTTAATATACATTAAGGCTAGTATATTCTTTTTATATGGTATATTTACCTACCTTTAAATTTATTAGACAGCTAACTGTTAAAGTTACAATTGTTGACATAATTGTAACTATGACAATTAAGCATTAGGTAAATTTAGTAAAGTGAATATACTGACACTTAATTTCTATTTGTCGTCAAATCAATCCGTTAAACGTCATTAAAAAACGGATGCATGAAAATTAGAACATTTCTTATCCGGCGATTTTATTGAATAACGGACAAACGGATACATGAAAATTAAGCTTTAAACATAAAGGGCGATCCATAAAGTACGTCACACCATTTTGGGGGATTTCAGACATACCCTTCCCCTATGTCACGCATAATATCATTATTATAGCACACTATGTCACAAAGTCTTGACCCTCTCTACCCCAAACGTGTGACATCCATAAAGGAGGACATACTTTTTACATTGTAATCCCGTCTCATACGTTAATGTGTTGTATGTAATATGCTTCACACATCAAAGTCCGGTAATTTAGTTAAGGTAATTTTTTTCTAAATTAAGACCTTTATATACAAAAAATACATACATTGCATAATTTTAAAAAATAGCCTTGACAAAATAAGAAAATTAACCACAGTACTTGCTTGCTTGCAAATTTTGCACAATTTTACCAAACTGTTGTCTTATTTGGTAAACTAATTAGTAGATGAGATTAAGACAGAAGTTTCCAATTAAAAATATAACTTTCAACAAAAACAAAATATGACCAAATCACATTTTTAATTTTCAAATATAAGGTATATTTTTTCCAAAGTCGAAAATTTTAAATATTTATGGGGGGAGTTTTGTGTGATTTCACCTTCCAGAAAAATGTTTTAAAAAAATGAAAATATTTAAGTTTTGGTATAATACTTAAGTTTGAATCGTAATTCAAACGCAAGTATTAATTACATGGATAACAAACTAAAATGTTTTCAAAATTTTTGTTTAGACCAAAAGTTGCCCTTTTCGTTTGTATTAAAAATATAAAATAAAAACACAAGTGCTTTGCTCGTGAGTCAGGGGGGTAAATTGCACCCATTGCCCCCCCTGTATACGCGCCTGGCGGCAAAAAAAATATTGCTAAAACTAATTCCGGGCACTAAAATTGTTTTCGGGATATGAAACTTCAATATCTAAAACTTGATTATTTGATGTAGAACTAATTAAAAATTTAAATTATTTACTTCAAAGATACAAAAATCTGAAAATAGGTAATTTCTTTTGTTTTTAAATATTTAATACATATATTAGTCCTAAAATATTCACTACAAAACTGACAATGGATTTTTCACAATTAATTTTTAAACTAAAACTAAAAAATCGTTATTACAAATTTCCTCTCTCAAAATTAAAATTAAAAAACAAAATTTTAAGGGATTGTTCTTAGTAATAACTACCCACGATTTATTTATTAAAATTTAATTTCTAGGACCAAGTGGTTGACGTTATTCGTCTCTATATTATTGATTATTACATATTTTTTACAGTACTCAAACTGTCTGTGTAAATATTTTAGTTTATATGTTTAACAACTTGAAGTATTATAAGGTTATTTGGAATTTTTGTTATTCAATTAATCGAATTTAGTTTTGCTGCAATGACCTTGCTGCAGTGGATAAACAAATAATCCCGACGCATTCGCCATTTTTTCAAGTCTACGATGCAACCTTAGCAACGACAACAATGCGCGGCATTGCAAAGGACGAACGTCGTTTTGAAAACCCACATTCATTTCACTGTGCGGCGCCTAACGCTTTTTTATGTTGTATGGACGAAACGCGGCCGTGGTCGTCGTCGCCGAGTTTGTCATCCAATGCCATATTAACTTAACTGACCGGCGTTCCTGAATGTATGATTCGCCCGCGAAATGATGACATTATACTCGACCCGTTAAAATAGAACCAACCCGACTGCCACGTATTACATATTTATGTAGGTACACGCAGAGCCGGCTCGGCAAGCATTGGCGCCTCAACCGTCACTAATAAATACGAATTTTTAATTTTTTTTATTTATATGAGTAAACGCGATTATTAAAATTATTTAAACGTAAATGTCCAAAATTTATTATATTTTATCTGATTTTTTTTTACAGTTCCCAAGGGGAATTGACCATGAACTTCTTTTAACAGAATTTAACATTATGTCTTTAAATAATAGGAGATATTTAGTCAGGTTCTTCTTTTTAAAATATTACATAATTTAAATATGATTTTTTTTTCAAAAGAGTACATTTAAGGCTTTTTTTAGGCAATTCACTCAGTCTTTTTAGGAACAAGAAGATAAGATGGTGAAAGATTGTTCCTTAAATAATTCTGAACAAGCGACAAGCAACAAACTTCCATCATTTTCAAAGGGCCTAAGCTAAGACCACTTTTTGAAAATGACATTTTTGTGAAAGTTTGCAAAAACTAAACCTAAACCGATATTTACTTTCGTAATATGTTTTCTTCATAATTTTGACCTCCTGATTGTGATTCAGTTGTCAAATTTAAGTTTTAGATAAAACCAAAATCATCAAGAATCAAAATTCGAAAACAATTCCCTGTTGTTAAATGTCTACCAATTGCCTACCAAAAAGCCTTAAATGTACTCTTTTGGAAAAAAATCATATTTTCGTTGCTACGATTCCAATTCGAAAAATTTGAAAAAACGTTTCAAGGTAAGACATAATACTTCATTATTTCAAAGTAAAGACGAAAAAAATTTTTTTTTTACAAACGGGGCTTGGATGAAGTTATTGAAATTTTTCATCGTTTAACATATCACCCTGTAGAAAATTTACTTGAAGAACCTTGAGCTTCATATCTATATGATGAATTGCCAGAGGATGGGGCTAGGAGACATCACAGACCAAAATAAAATCGTTCAAAAAACAAAAAAGTTATGTCGTTCTGAAAAAGAACGAACTTTTTGGTCGCGACACATTGAGTGGTGCGCAGTTTAGTTTAATATTGTTTTTTTAAATATATTTACATTTTGTTACTTAAAATTAATTGTAATTCCTGTACTGTAATTGGATTCTCTGTTGGGCAAATAAATACATTATTATTATTATTATTATTATTATTATTATTATTATTATTATTATTATTATTATTATTATACTATTCTATATTTACCTATAAATATATCTAAAATTTAGTCCCTAAATATGGTACAGGTTGGTTTCATAAAAATGGATACCTACGCCTCTAAATTAGATAAATCGAAATAATAAAAATCCGGCATGTATAGCATAAAAAGTTATTTGTTTTTATTTTATATATAGATATATACATGGTATCCCTGTTAAGTATCCTTATGCCTATTTTTACGCAAGAGTTACAAAAATTATATATTTTTAAAAATTAGACTACACGCCGTAGTTAATTTTTTATCTAGCAATAGTCTGAGGGAAGAAAAGTTTTATGGGTCAGTTGCGTGCGTACTGCAATAAAATTATTAACGTATTATTTTGTTTTATACGTATAAATCAGGCCCGTACGCACGGGCGTTGGGGGTTCAACCCCCCACCCCCTGACTGTTTTAAATTACAAGTTTTACTTAAAATACTGGAAAATAACCTAAAAGTACATATTTTTTATATGGTTTATATGTATATCGGGTGAGTTTTTTAAAGTGTTTCAAGGGGATGCTTCGAAATAGGTTTAACAAAATTTTGTAATAATTTGGTAAACTAATAGAGAGGTGGGAGGGCATATTTCAATAAATTTTTGACATCTATCCCCTTTCCATATTTTGAGGGGTGGGGGGTAACTTTGGATTTTTAAAAGGGATGATGTACTTTTTTTAAATTCGAATCTGTGTAAAAAAGTAGGTATGTGTGCAAAAAAAATTGTTTTGCGCTTTCGCTTACGGAATTATGATTTATTAAATTATAAAATACCTACTAAAAAATAATTTTTATTTATTTATCAAGACTCAAGAATTTCTCAGATATGACAGATGATAAATTAGTTGAAATTGAATTATTAATATTTTTTATAATTCAGTAACCAAAAAAGCAAATCAAAAATTTGTTTCCGCACATACCCAGTTCTTTTTGCAGATTCGAATTTTAAAAAAAGTACATCATCCCTATTAAAAATTCAAAGTCACCCCCGCCCCTCAAAATAGAGATTAGTTTCACACAAAAAATTTTACAAAAATAATTTAAACCGTTTTCGAAATATCCCCTTGTAACACTTTAAAAAACTCACCCGGTATATTGTTTTTAAAAGAACCGTCGTATCTAGGTAATAAGGAACAGAAGATAATTTGTATTGTTTTCAACAATTAAAATGATCTTTTGTCCTTTATTAGTTTCCTAATATTAAAGATACAGAGATTTATCTTAGAAGGGCAGAAAACTTCTGTGGGTATTTTTTTTGTTTGTAGAGCTACAAGGTCTGTTAAATTAGAGAAAAGTTGCTTAACTACAAGCTTATTAAAATGAAAATTATTTATTGGAAAAAAATACAGTTTCTTAAATTATCTAAAAATTCTGAAAATTTTGAAAAATTTAATTTTTACATGTAAACATTCACATTAATCTACATTTTTATCCAATTTCTTACTATATTTTGAGTTACCATACAGAATTAGGCCCGAAAGTGACCCATAGGCCCATTAAAAAAGTATTTTTTTAAATTTTGCTGATAGTTTTTTTTTATACATTTCTCAAAAGTATAACTCTCTGGATTTTACAGACTTGTTCATTTTATCCCATTTAAATGATACCCTGTAAAGCGAAAAATCTAAGCCTTTATTTTAAAAGATTCCCTAATTGACTTGTTATTGTTTGTTAACCTTTTGTTAATGCCACTCAAACTTGAACCCCCTTCCCCGTCGAGCCGGCACTGGATACATTTAACTTTGTTGGCCAGATAAAAAATTGCCTTAAACAATACAAAACAGGACCATAAAAGTTATTTATTTTTAACGAAAAATAAAAATTAATGGGAAAGGGTTACATTAATGTAATTAGAGATTTGCATATAATAAAAAGGTTAAATGGAATTTTTCAAGAATTATAATTGGTGTATACATTTTATATTTGTTTTATATTATGTTACTTTTTAAGGTTTTATTTGTATATTTTTACAACTTCTATATTGTAACTTTCTAAATTTATTTCTATTACTCGGAGTAATTTACTCCTTATACTAATTTTGGTTATATTATAGTATTTTATGCAACAACCATTTAATGATGGCTATTAAAACATTACCATAAGAATAATGAGTGCATTTGAAAGTTGCATACACTATTTTTTCTACGACTATCATAATAAAGTAAAAAATTTACTCCAAAAAACACGATCTGTCAGTTGTTATTGACAGATTAATGCCGTGTATCGCATTTCTATTGGTTAAACATAGTAAGGACATTTTTTTATTATAATGGATCTCCTTGTAGCACAGGTAGAAAATGTCTAATAAACAAATTAAAGTATGGGTGTAGAAAAATGTTATTTTTAATATTTTTAGACCTAAAAATGTCGATTTTTCTTGCTGAACTCAGATTAGTTTTTTTATCACGCAATGTGTGTCGTGAAATTTGCTATAATCGTTTAAAACAGTGATACGTATCAAAATGTACAAAAAAATTCTTGCATGATTCAACGATTAACCAATTTTTGGACCTAAGAATGCTATTGTTGTCGTAGAGCTAACGAAAGTTGGGTAAAAAGTTTTTGCCTTTTCTAAAATATTTAACTTCTACAAATACCTATTTTATTGATTGATAGCAGATTAGATGTAAGATTCTCCACATTAAAAAGTCCTCCTTTAACATTTTAATAAGGAATGAAGTTAAATAATTAAGGTTATGTATGGGCCAGTTTAATGCTAATGTTTAATTTTGAAATACGATATATATGTCATACCAAAACGGACAATTTTTACTTTTGGTCAAAAATTAGATTTTTGGCGGAGACTGTACTTCAAATAATTATCTATAAGATGATAAAGTTGTGTGCTGCAAAAGAAGCTAAATCCTGCCTAAAATCCTATTTTAAAAATGACATTTAGTGCAAAGTCGAAAATCTCCACTGCTAGATTTGCAGCAAAGTATACAATCTCCAATTCCACCATTAGAAATTAGTAATTTGTGTCACCTGATATCCTAACATTTGATGTTATAACGTATTTTAGAGATTTAATTTTGTGTTTTTTTACTGGTACATACTTTTAAGTTTTATTGCAGTAAATGGCACTTAAAAATATATTTAAAATAGGTATATTATATATACGTTTTATTGTTTTAAGAATTATAAAAAAAGTTATGTTGTTATTTTGTGCTATTATACCATAATAAGACGTAAAGGTAAAGCAAGAAAAGGCTGATAATGTCAAAACATTGCAAGTAAAACATTACGGGGCAAAGTGAGAAGAAGATAATGAGTTGTTGTACTATAAAAACTTTTTTGCACGAGGCAACCTGGTCCCAGATTTAGAAGAATCTCCAGATTTATGTGGTCGTTCAGAATTTTTCCACATTGATTGTATAGTTAAATTTTATACCCATTAAAGGAATAAAAAAACAATTATTTTTTTGTTTATTTTTCTAAATCTCCGTTTAGAACAAAATGAGCAATCTCTAGCAATTCATATCACAGTCAGCAATCTCCAATTTATAATTATAGATTTCACCTATACTATGCATCCTGGAGACCTTGTAGTTGGCTACTAGACTAACAACAACAATATTTCAATATAATATATAAAAAAAATTACAAATCTAGAATTTAAAATACCAAAATTAATTATCTCAATTTAGTCATGGGAGATTGTTGACTTTGCTCTGACAGGCCTCATATGTAGGGTATGTTTATTTTCAGAGAAAAAGATTAGCGTTAAACTGACACATATGTAAGTACATAACCTTTGAGACTTAAATTTTGAGTGGATTCTTTATTCAAATGTCAAAATTTGACTGTGCAGCGTAGAGTACGCTGCGTAGTACTTGTTAGAAAGCCAGGCGCGTTTTTCTTGAAACCACTTGTTTCAACTGCGATTTTAGGCTTAAATACTATAATAAGAACAAACATTAATTTACCATTTTGGTCTGCACAGGTGGATGCTGCTGTTGCTGCTGCCCGGAAATGAAAAGGCTCTCGGTGCGTTTTGGTTGGTTGGGCGAGGGAATGATGTCCTGGCCGAGGCCGCGTTTCCTGATGATGATCTCTTCGAATGGGGGCGGTTGCGCCGGCACCGACGGGTTTATGTTGTTGTTGTTCGACATTTTGGCCCCACTGCCCGTCAACACCGAACCGTTCTTGGTCGGCAAGCCGCCCGCTGCGACCCCGCCCATCGGCTGGGGGGTCGTACCCCGGATCGCCGAGGGGGCCCTTTGACCTCTGTCTGGAGTTTCCGATGGCCTTAAGAAAGTAGGTACATTTCATTATTTTTCTTAGAAATTAAACTTTAGAAACAAACAATAATACTTATATTACATTATATAATAATTATTTATGTCACTAGGCCAAGAAGTCAGTCTTTTTGTGCTGAGCTTAAAGTTTGAAAGCCGAGCGCAGAGTACAAAAACCCTTCTAAACCAAATGGCATACAACCAGAGCTGGCCAAGTACTTGAGTACTTTTACTCGTATTTTAATTACGAGTAAAAAAGTACGAGTGCTTTCTACTCATAAGTATTTTTCATTTTAAATACTTATTACTCGTACTTAAGAGTATTTCCGTTTATTATTTCGACGATTTTTTGCCAAAATATCGCAAGCATCGTAATATTTTGTTTTGAAGTCTGTTTTAAATTATATAATATATAGTATAATATAATATAAAACAGTCACGTTCCATCACTTGACATAGCAACACGCATCGTAGCAGCGAGAGCTCTTAAAAAATAAAAGCCAAAACCAATAAATAATTTCTCATAAGGTGCAAACAAATACCTATAGTGTAACAACTACACTGCCGTGCTTAATGAAAACGCCGTAACCAACAATTTTGCGATTTTTGGTTTACGGCATTTTCTACTAGAACAATTCATCCTGCGTCTATCCCCGGTACTCAAAAAACCGTATATATATAGTTTTTTTTTTTGTTTTTTTTTTTTAAATCCGGTACAATTAAGCATATCCTGTCAATAAATAACATCAATTTTAAAAAAATTAGTATTTTTTTAATATGAAATTTTGAACAAAATGTATATTAATAATAAAGTGAAATTTAGAATAGGTACCTATATTACATTTTCCATTATTGAGAATTTCGACTAAGACAAAAAATTTGATTTATTATAATTTGGTAGTTTCCACATAAGAAACCAATAACAATGTAAAACTTCTTGATGTCTATTAATAGATATAATTATAGCTAGTTACTTTTTTTTTAGACCAAACCAAAACAAACCCTGACGCGTGGACTGTAAACATAAAACATTAGGCAAATGGAACTAATCTTGAAAAAAACATTAAAAAAAAACCTATTTAGGTTTTAAAAGAAAACAAAAAAAACGGATCGTTTTTTTTTCAATTCACATCTCTACATACAAAATTTTATCTTCAAGTTGTAATTTTAATCAGAAGTAAGGTTGGAACTGTCTGAAAGATGTAAAATTTTATGATTGGATACGAGGGGCGAGAAAGTTTCTTCCAATTTAAAAACAATACAAAAATGCTAAACTAACTAAAAAGATTTTTCATTAGTCTATCAAACTTTTAAATTGCCCTTGACCTGCATACTTTCCTGGCCCAATATGAAATATTTATTTACTTTGCCGGCTATAACTTTTAATTAAAAAATATTCTAAATACCTCATTTGCTTACTAGGGTGGGCCGATTTTATATTTAACTTCTAAAATTTAAAAATATTAAATTCTGCATTTAAGAAAAAGTTGTGAAATAGGAAAGTAAACTATTTTTCTTTAATATTTTTTTCTTTTTTAATGTTTTGAACTGTGTGAAGTCAATCTGTAAATTTTAAATTTTGCATTAATTGCAATTATTGGAGAGACGGCGTAAAATGGAGAATAAAATTTATTCAAAACTTCTTTTAACCCTATTTTCTCTCAGATAATTTTTTTCGTATTTATAACGATACTAAATTACATTAAGATCTTTCAAGGCCTTGCGGCAGTTTAAGAAATTCAAATTAAAAAAAAAACTTTTATAATTTTTTTCTGGCCTTATAAATGCGCAACTTTTCCACCATTGCACAATTTGATATTTGAAAAATATTAAAATCGGCCCACCCTATTGCTTACCCACTTGATTCTTTTAAAATAATACACATTTTAAACATTGATTTCCTTACCTTGCAGATCGATCTACGGAAGGTTGCCTGGATCCCATGGACCCGCTGAGCTTTCCCGTAGCTCTAGAGTACCTATCTACGCTGGAGTCCCTGCTCGGTGGTCGGTTGTAGTGGTCGAAATGGTCTATCGACGTCTGCTGGCCGATGTTGCCCAGGTAGGGTCTATCGCCCGAGACCCTTCTGGACATTCTCCTCAGGTTCGCCGCCGGCACGTCCTCCGAAGGCAGCGAGTTGTTGCGCGGTTTGTGCAGCGGCATGTCGCCGCCCGAATTGTGCCCACTGTCGATCTGCGGCCCGAATTCGTGCTGCGACGACGGGTTGTTCGGGTTTGGGTACGGATTGTTGGGATTCGGATAAGGGTTGTTTGGATTTGAGTACGGGTTGGACGTTGGAATATTGGACATGGGGTTGTTGTACCCCGGATTCTGCTGTTGCATCATGGGGTTGTTATACCCGGTGTTTTGCTGTTGCTGCATCATGGGGTTGTTATACCCGGGGTTTTGCTGTTGCTGCATGGGGTTGTTGTATCCAGGATTCTGTTGCTGCTGCATGGGGTTGTTGAGTTTATTAGCTAGATGTGGTTGGTGCTGTATCGAGTTTGGAATTTGGTTCTGCATCTGGTTGGGCTTTATCTCGTTAGGAATTTGGTTCGGTATCTGATTTGGAATTTCATTTTTCTTATTTATATCAAAACTAATGTTCATATTCAAGTTTTGTTCTCTATACTTGTTTTGTCTTGCTCGAAGTCGTTCCAAGCCAGGTTGTTTAAAATCGGGGGCGTACTGTTTGGCGACACCGTCGGCTATGTCGGAGTCTTCTTTGGCATGCGCTGCTGCCATATCGGCTTGTTCTGCTTTACCCCGCGCTGTTGCAGTTCTGGTTATCGCTATATCGGCTTTTTGGAGTGCGATTTTCGAAGCTCTTTGTGCTGCCATCACGGCAGCATCGATTCGTTCTCTAAACTTGGCAGATCGCATCAAAAACAGTTTCTTCTTCTGACTTGTAATGAGGACATTGTTTTTGTATTTGCCTTCCTCTTTTTCACCATTAGTGAACGTTGTTACACCATAACCGTATTTTTTATTGGCATACCATTCACCTTCATATCTAAGACCATCAGTTCTTTCGCTAATACCATAGCCTGATCTTTTGTCATTTTTCCATTCACCCATATAAGTTTCTTTTACGCTTGGATCTAACTGGTCATCCTAAATAAAAGAAGCCACAAACATGCTTATATTCCTTGTCAAAAACAATACTAAACTAAACACGTTTCAAAGTATTCTTATTTAATTTAAAAAATTTCATGCTGATCTATGAAAATAGTAAAGTAAATAACAAAATATAAAAAACTTGATAAAATCTATTGTGCAAAATTTCCAGAAAATTATGATTTTTTTATATTTTATTATTATAATAATGAAAAATATTTCTACGAATATTCAAAATTCTGAAAATATTTAACCTATATTTTTATTGGGTTAATTTGATTTGATTTGAATAAATATCAACAGAGATATTATATACCATAAAAAATTACTCCCACTTCTTTTTGTTATAAGTTAATTCATTGCTTATGTATTTTACCTCCACCACAAAACTGGCATTCGAATCGGACGGAACAGACATATTGGTCATTGCTGATTGGGCTGACTCGTTACTGATCCAGGAGGCTGATGAATCGGTTGACCGTATACTGCCCCCTGTGCCCCTCTTTTCTAAATCCCCTGTACTTCGTTGCTTTTTTAATCTTATATTCTGAAAATTAAATAAAACAAGTATTTATAAAATGCATTAGTTTTATTGTAATAAACTATAATATAATTTTGTAAATTAGATTTGTAAAGTTTAGCAATAAAAGTTACGAACAACTAAGACAAATACAAGTTTTTTTATTAAATCAGTTTTAGAGTTCAAAATTCATTTTCGTGAGAAGATATGAACTATTTTATAAAATATTATTATATTGTGTAAAATAGATTATATATTCTTTAAAAAATGCATTTTGAACTAAACAACTGATTTAATAAACAAATTGTACTGTTTTTAATCCCACCGATTCAATTAAAATGCAATGGGTATTGTTATTCTTATTTCTATTATTATTATTCATTATTTATGGAGCCCTTTATTGCGTCGTAATATACCTATGCTAATTCGTTAAAAATAGCACAAACTCTTGCGTGAATTCAACTTTAGAAACCATTATAAAATTATGTTGATTAGTGTTTTCTTTAAAATAATAATAAATTTTTTTGTTCACGTGTAAAATTAAAGCATGTTATATAGAATAATTTGGAACACCCGGACAGGTCATAAACCCATTTAACTTGCTATCTGGAATCGGCTATTGTAAGCTGCACACTTGCCAAATATTTCTAACACATCATGCTTATAAAAATTTATTCACTACTACCAAGGTTTTAAAAGTAGTCATTTTCAATCAAAACACGAAAGAAAATTTGCTCAAGTAATACAAAATTACTGTAAAATAGGTTAATTAAGGCATTTTAAATATTTAAAATTAATATTAGAATGAATGATATAATTTATATTTATTTATACATTTGGAGTACAAACAGGACCAACTTAAAGAGAGTACTTACTTACATATAAAAAATAAAGACGTTAACATAATTTTTGTAAAGGGCTCTTTTTGAGTAGGTATACAAAATTTTATAGAAATTTGTCAATATATATATATATATATTTTCACCCCCCTGTAAAGAGTGGTTGGATATAAGTAAGGTAAACATATATGTACCACTGTATTCTACAGCTCTTTTTAGGTATGCATACAAAATTTCATACAAATTGGTTAATAATTAAATAAGTTATGGAAAAAGTTTGTTTTCAATCGGCCACTGCACATGTGCGTTAGCTGTTTAACTGCAATCAGCTGAGTTTGTTTTACATCGGACCACTTAGAATTTGCGTGAAAAAACTGCCCACAAAAACCGCTAGACTGAAGGTCAGGAGACTGATATAGTTAGCACACGTTTTACAAGTTTTTATATTGTACATACATATTAACCAATATGAAAACTTGTAAAACGTGTGCTAACTATACAAATTACAAATTAACTATCACATAGCATTTCTCAGTGTATTTTTTTACCAAGGTAATTTTAAATGATCAAGAATTAATCTTATATATAAGAGAATATCACAATCTACATTGTTCATTTATGTTTGTAGCACATGGTGTCCAGAAACTAAACCGACAAACGAAAACAGAAATGTCCAGATATGATTTTAGATGGATTTAACCAAAATTGTCCAAAGCCCCGGGGCCTCCACACACTAAGGGCTCAAACCTTATATTCATACATTTTTTGTCAAATATATTTAGTGGCGTAACTTCAAAATTAAGGAAAATTCAGTACCAGACTTCGAAGAAATCATTAATGATTTTTCTGCAAAAAACACGCTGTGTCTTTAGTAAGCATTTAACTATATTTATTTATTATATTTGCCATTGCTCACATATTTTTTTTAAAGTATGGAATGTATTTTAATAAAGATTTTTTTATTTGAAAATTTAATTGTTAAATGATTTTTTATTGGTCGAAAGGGCCCCGATGCGTTTGCGCCCGGCCCTGCATTTTGTTTATTCAATCACTTTGTTTAAAATTTGTATTCGTTATTCGAATCTAGAACCTTAATAGCAAATAAATAAAAAGTTAAGAGAAAACATAAAAAATGAAGATACTAAAATTTTTAGTTAAACACATGTTTGCCATTATCTGCACTAGTTGGACGACTTTTTTTTCTCAAAAACAAATATTATTATTCTTTTTAATTTTCAAGAGTATTCGAAAATAGTATTAGGATTTTTGTATTAGAATACATATTTTGTTAAAAGTATTAAGTATATATTTGTAGTTGTTTTTTGGAATGCAGTGTATTCATATCTGTTATTGAATACAATAATTGAGCAGTTTTTGTTTTTTTTATTTCGCATCTTTGGGTTCATTTCTATCGACAACCAAGATAATTCTGTTTAAATCCGACTATATCCATGTTAAAATCACATTTAAAAGGTAGCTTTAGGAGCAAAACCGGCCAAATCCACGTTTTTATAGCAAACCCGGCTATATCCAATAAATAATAAATAATAATGATGATGAGCATGTGACTTGGATATGTCGATACTACTACTAAAATTTGTTCTGTTTTTTCATGTTTGCACTAAATTTATTTTGTTAATATTTTTGAATAATAAAGGTTTTTTTTCACATTTTATTCGGTTTTTGAGCAAAACCGGCTATATACAAAACATTTTTTGAAATTTTGGCCTTAATATAAAGTTTTTGAAAACGAAAGTATGTCTTATAAATCAAGTACCACAAAGCCCACAAAACTCAAGTTGGCTTTTTCTTTTATCTGTATTAAAGGGCCAGGAAACCTTGCCATTTTCTCAACATTTTATTAAAGAGGATATAGCCGGTTTTGCACGGATGCTCCTCAATTGTCCTGACCTATTAAACCTTACTTTTTTTTTAACATTTTTCTATTTTTCTATTTTCCAAATTTCTTCCTTTTTTCATACATTAGGCTATTATGTGCATCGAAGTGATCATATTTATAAAATCTTTTAGTTTACTTCATTATCTATTAAACTTAAATATACGTTGTAAAATGTATTATTAAAATAATATTTATTTATATCATAAGGCTGAGAAGTGAGTCTTTTTGTGCTGAGCTTAAAGGTTGAATGTCAACGCGTAACAAAGCACAAAAGGACGCTTTTTAACTGCATGGCATACAACATCTTAAACCATACATAAAAGTCCAATTATAATATTTATTAGGTAAGGTTAGATTAGATCTGACTGTTTTACAGACTAGGACATAATCAAATACTTTGGTAGTAAGCGTTGACAATAATAAAGCTTAAGTTGGAATAGAACGCTAGAAGATAATATTTTATATTATGTATCAAGTTTGATAAACGCCATTTTATACACGAATTTAATTTAGGCACGAGCGAGCTTGCGAGCGAGTTCTTAAATTAATGAGTATAGAAAAGTTTATAAACGAGGTGCATACTATACTTTTACTACGACAAATACTTATTATTAAAATGATTTAAATCAAAAATTTGTATGGAGCGCCATCTATGAAACAACAGGGGAAACTGTCAAATGTCACATTTTTACATTTTATAAATACAATTATAAAGGTTATAAATCGAAATGTGTATTGAAAATTGACAGTTTTTCACAGTGAAAGTAAAGGAAATGTTTTATGAGGACTTTACAGTAGAGTCCGTGCCCGAATTTAAGTTATAGTTTACTGCCGGCGAAATTAAAAGGTCAGTACAATGTTCATATAAACTTTTCAAATATTGGCGTTGAGAAACTATTTAATATTTTTGTATTTTTGTATTGAGATAATAAAATAATTTTCACATTTAGTATTATTTTACAAGAAAGGCACTTTATTTTAACGATTGTATGACATTTGACAACTGTCAACTAACTTAAAACTAACTTCAGCCCGTGACTAAAAACCTGTTGCTAACTTGGTACAGTTGTAGTACCTTCTTCTTGTGGGACCTTCCATGGGTAAGTGATATACTATATTTAATAGCTTGGATTGTCTTCGGCGTACCAATTTTGCATATTTTCGGCCATAACTTATCAAAGATTTAGCCATGCAGCGGAACCAAAAAAATCCAAAAAACCTTTTTTTAAATTTTTTTCCCTTTAGCTCTATAAATACTATAGTATAGATATCCACGGTTTACTGCAGCTGTCATTAGTAGCCGATAGAAAACTCTTTTCCATTATTTGGTGGTCTATCTATCCATATCGTAGAGGCAGAGTTGATATGAGAGATCAACTCCCCTCCATATATTTGTTATAAAACTCTTATCATCTTAGGAGAAGAAATTTCTGAACGACTATAATCTTTAGTTTTTCTCTTACTTATCAATGGTCGTGAAAATTCATCACTTGAAGCATCTGAGGATATACTGGGCAGATTCTGAACCACTATCATCGAATGGTTCCTCTTCCAAATCAGACAAATTCTCTGCAACTCCTTTTTCTTATAAAAATGGAAAATTACAAACTACTTCTAGTATTACCACTGGGACAAACATATCCCACTGCCAAATGCCACTGGGACATATTTAACCCATCAACAAATTTTACAAAATTACTCTATATTTGCTATTTTACATACATAAAAAAGTTTCTATAGTAATAAATAAACATTTACAAACTTAATTCGACATTTTTTCATATAAATTATAACAAAAAACACCAAATAAAGAAGTATAAACACGCAGCACGTGCTTTAATTACTAATAACTAACCCACTAACCGATTTCAAAAATTGGCGCGCGAAAATTTTGGGTTAAAAACGATCTCTAAAACCAGTGGGACATCGACCGGGTTTAATTTATAGCGCGTAATAAAGGGCGTTTTAAAGGTGGGAGTAGAAAAAAGTTTTTTCTGGGTACTTACAAATATTCCTTTGGTAATGTGTCCGGATCCAAGGGATCGACGTCTCGTCGTCGGTTCTGACGAGTTCATCTTCAGTACAAATCCGCCTCTCGAGTCGTCCACCCTCCGGTCTCTTTTCTCTGTCGGTTCCGGGTTGCTGGCGCCACCGCCGCCTCCTTGGTTGTCGCTGCTGCGCAACGACGTCATCGAGGCGCGTAGGGTTTTGTTCGCTCTGTATTTCGAAGCCTTGCCGAAAGGGGCGCTGGTACGGATACCGTACCCGTGGCGCATGCCTCTCATCCATTGTCCTTGGTAAGTACCTGGAAATAAACATTTATAATTAATATAATGGCATTTTTGAAACTCATTTGTATGTAGATGGAAAAGATAAATAGTGAGTTAGATCATAGGCAGATTAATTGTTGATTCTTTATTATTATTATTTAAATTTAATATCAACCTTAATATTAAAATAAGCCATGCATAGGTTATAAAATTTTAGGATAAAATTCGATGTTTTCTTAGGTTTTGCTCGAATTAGGGATTGAAATTGCTGGATTCCACATCCACGCTTGCGGCACGTGCTACACCCCTTTCTACACCGCACTTTTCGCTCTCGCTTGATAAAGTTTTATTCTAAATATATAATGTCTTATTTAGCATAAAACTTGTCACTTCAGGGCCCGGGTTGTTTGTTGTTAGAATTGTGAGTAATTTGACCGAATTTTAGTTTTAATTTATTTATAAACATTATATAACATTACAGTAGTTACATTGAGAACAAAAAAAGTACAAAACTTGTAATAATATTTATTATAAAAAATAATAAAGATAATAATTATTATCTTAAAATCTTTACATTAATTTTGTTTAAGCTTTTAATGTGGAAATCAGTTTAATGTTCTACATATATTTAATTTTCCAGTATATATAATTCATATTATGGGGTTTAAAAAAGGATAAATGAACTAAAAATTGGAATATACAAAATAGTGCAATACTTTTCTTTATAAAAGTTTTTCAGTCCTTTAAAAATAATATTAAATTATTTATTGTATGTGTTGTATGTGTTGTATTTATTGTTTTTATATTGTATATACACTCTGTTGCCATTTTGTGATATTACTCTAAATTTTTTATTTCACATGTAATTTGACTAGTCATGTAATTTTATTTTTGATGACAATAAACTATTTCTATTCATTATTTATTTATTTACTCTCTAAAAGTGAAACAGTGAAATTTTCACTATTTCCGTCAGTGAGTTATTCACTGTAAAATTAGTGTTTTTCAATATAAATTAGTGAAATTTTAACTTCTCCAAATTAGTGTTTTTTATTATCACTACTTTTCCGGAACCCTCGATATAAAATAGTGAAATTTTAACTTTTTTGAACTAAACCTATTTCACTAATTTGTACAGTGTAATTTCCACTAAATAAATTAGTGCAAAGAAATCGTAGAAAGTGAGTATTCACTAATTGCTAGTGGTATACTTATCACTGCGGCAAATAGTTCCTGTCAATCAGTGAAAATCCACTGTTTCATTTTTAGAGAGTAGGTTTACATATTACTAATAGTAATTTAATATAGTATCATTGAGTATACTATATTAAATTACTATTAGTAATATGTATAGCTAGCTAATCAGGTTTTTAACTAATTTACCAAAAAACCTATATTATACAAAGAGTTTTAAAATTAACAAATCGTGAAAATTGGTTAATATAATATGTTTAAATTAAAAAAAAATATTCTGAAGAATTAAAATTTTATTCATTTATTTTTTATTTTTAATAATATTTTAGGTTTTTTTATGAAAATAAAAATAATAATAAAAGGTTTTTAAGTATTAAAAATTGATTTTTAAATTTTCTTTAAAAAATTTATTAATTGCTGGATCCGCGCTGGATCCAGATGGACTGATGTGGATCCAGCAAAAATCCAGCTGGATTAAAAACCATGCTGGATTGCAATTCCTAGGTGAAATTTCTTAAAATAAACTATTAATATTGAATAGTTACAAGAAATATAAGATTCCCAATTCACTTCACACGATTTTGTTTATAGGTAATTTTTGTCCAAAATTTTTTTATAAAGGGTGTTTAAAATATCATAACATAAACAGATATATGGGGTTATGATGTCTAGAAAAGTTTATAAACGAGTTGCATACTATAGTTTTTCTAGCACAAATACTAGCGTCATATATAAAATAATAGAGTAACCATTCTAACTTCAAGTTAGTAACTTGGGAATCTGTATTACTGGCCGGCAACAATCTTAAATTGAGCGAAGCACAAAAAGACACGTCTCATCCGAATGGCATACAACATTTTATCTTCAAGGTACAGTTTTATTTGATACATAAAACGTACTTACAATTAAAATAACGATTATACAGGCAAATTATTTTTACAGCCTAGGAGATAATTAAATACTTTGGTAGCGTTGACAATAATAAAGCCTAAATTATAGAACGCTAGATACAAATATTTATATTGTTGTATCTACTCCTATTGCATAATATTGGGTTTTTTCGTAAATAATGATAAACATTATAAATTTTCTGCCTAACAACGGGAATGATGAACTCATTATTCACTTTGTTAGGAATCAGTGATTGGCCGATTTCAATATTCACTGTGATTTTAACCAATCGGGTTTTTATTTAGGAGAAGGCGACTAAAATAAAATTTTAAATTGGTGAACAGTGAGATTTACCATAGATTAGATTTTTATTTAAAAAAATTTTAGTTCATATATTTTTTGAATCATATAATTTATTCCTAAAAAATTGTTAAAAATGTTATCTTTTGTCGAATTTTAATTGGAAAATATTATCCATATAACAATAGAATATTGTGCAACACGTGAAAAAAATGATCGATTATAAACGAGCATTTGTTTGAATGTTTTTTGGGATTATTTTCCTAATTCAAAAATTTAAAATCTTAACTTGAGCAATTCTACGTGAGGGTGGGACAAAATATTTTTATGATATAAAATTTGATATAATCTCAATATCTAATAATTAGGTGGAAAGAACTAAATTCTAGAGGGAAATCGAGATCCATCTCGATCATTTGGGCGGAAGCGTTCTGACAATCTGGCAACACTGGGTAGTAACTTAAATTTAAAGAGTTTAATAAATAAATAACAGTAAGCCGTGGCAGCAAATTTATCGGTGCCAATGTAAAACGTTGTATTTTAATTATCAAATTAATACTTAATTACAAATTAAAGTATCATTTAAAACTAAAAATTAAGGTTTAAAACTGTCATATATTTGTTGGTAGCACGAAATTTGAAATGAAATTTTAAAAGTGTTGAAAAAATTGTTTTTTAAGATTTCCATAAAAAAATACTGTAATAATAAATTTATTACTCATCAACATGATTCTTTTGGCTTGCTCTAATTAGTTTAAATTTTTTTTTAAATCTATGGAAAATAACACCTGTGCAGAAGTGATATTTTCCACATATTTCCCATAGATTATTTTAAAAATTTGTATCCAAACTCGAGAAACATAATATGATTTTATTGATTGCTTGAACTTGATCTAATTAATTTAGTTTATTTTTTATGGAAATCATATGATCGAGCTGGTGAGATACCAAATTAAAAAAATGGCGTATGAAAACAAATTTAATTTTACAAGTAATATTCTTGGAATCTGTGCTGTAAAAAAATCTGAAATTATTTGTGAATGTGTCTAATGCCAAAATCATATGTATTTATATATTAAATTTTAAAGACATTCTGTGGAAATTCTTTACTAGGTGCACTGTTTAAAATATCTGGGTGTAAAGGGTAATTTAAAAATGGTGTCTTAACACCATAAACACCATGAATTAGGGTTAAAAATGTTATATACAGCAAACACCAAAACGGTGTTTATCTAAAAATATTTGATCTTTTCGAACTACTGAGAAGTACACTTTACACCTAGTATGATTTAATTTGACAAAAAACACTGAAAAAGAGTTCAATTTACACCAGGTAAAATTTGTTTTGATACTGTGTGAAACTTAAATTTACACTATTTTAGTATTTAAATTTACACTGGACCAACGAACCATATTTAACACCATTTTGGTTTGTATCGATATAGACCAAGTATGGTGTTAATTTGGTGTTAAAATGGTCATGAAATTTTGAACAGTGTACCTTAATACTTAAAATATGGCATCGCGACAATACTATTTTTAAAATATAGGCTAATACGATATGCTAACGACTGAATTTACCTAAATCGTAAAAAAATATTTTGTCAAATTGTATTATTAGCTGTTACAGCTATAATAAAGCTTGTGAAAAAAGTCTAATAACTATTGTCTGCCTTCAAACGCCGACAACTGCATTTTGAAATATTAAAAGACAAAAAACGTGTATAGGTACATAGTTTAATATTGCTATAATAATATGTTGCCATAAATTCGTATAATTTATCTTTTACAATTTTCAAATGCAGTTAGTCTGATCTGGCAACTGTGTAGTCGGGAACTAAAATAAGACGGTGCCGTAGAGATGGACTACGGACATTCGCTATTTTAATGGCACTGTGGCCCCTAACTCTAAAGGCTGCACTCTACATTGTACCAGAAATTAGCGTGGGGAAACCAAGGAATTTTAATTTGGCCAGTCTGCGGTTTTTGTTGCCTCATTTTTTCCGCATTCTTCAATGCCCCATTTAACTCGAAAGCCAAACGAGTGATATTTTGTCTAATTGATTCAAGAATATATTTGTATTTATGATCAACATTAATCCGAACAAAAACATAGATGTTATATATTACACCGTATTTATATTTGAACCTTGTATAAATTGGATCCCTTCCAATTTATTTAATGTAGAAAATGAAAACTACACCTGATTGCTTACATCATCAAACATAATATTGAACCTTTAACTGGAAATATCTAGCCGACACTTAATTTCGCAAATAGTGCCGTTAGAAAAATAACTTAATTAAATTTGCCTAATTTATGTTTATTAGGTATATTAATCCCGGCGCATTCGCCTTTTTTAACAAAACATGTGAATTATCTATTATAGCTTAATAGCTTTCAGCTATTTTTTTCTCAAGGGAAACATGGAAGCCTACAGATTTTTATAATTAACTTTAATTAAGTAAAATCTAATATACTGGAATACTGCATTTATGTACTTAAAATTAACAATAATATTGTGTATATTAAATATAAATTTTATAGGTGGAACGTCTCTTGGAAAAGGTAAAAAAAATCGATTAAAGACTTATTTTCAACAGAGTTTCAGTTTTAAAAAATCAAGGTCGTCTTAGAAATTTATCTTATCAAGATCGTAGCTTTTTAATAACAAATACATTAAAAAGTTATTCAAAAAATTTGCTTGAAATCAAAATCTAGGCTCGTATCCCAAATTTTAATTTTTTGTTTATTTCTTAAATTAAATAATAATGGACACACTGTATATATATATATATATAAATGGAATTTAAAAATAATAACAAAAAACAATATAAAATGCTGCAGTATTACTTTGAACGCAATGCTTCAACTATTGTATTCCAATTGGTATGTACAATAAATAAATTAATGTGCTGACCTTTTACTCGTTCTCTGAATATGGAAATTCAATTATTTAGGTAAATACACGAAATCGTTGTTTTTAACTAAACTGCTCGTCATAAAAAACGACGCACCTAGTTTTTTGGAAAATATTTGAAAGCTCGTTATTGGAAAATTACTGAATCGATTTTGAAAATCTTTGAAAATTCTGAATAGCTGATTCTTTGACTCTTATGTCTAATTTTGGGAATACGATATTTTGCACATAGCATTATACTACAGGGTGTTAAACGAAGAGATGAATTTTTTTCGAAATTTCAAGTTATTCCCATTCATAGGGCAGTTGACTTTGATAGTCGTAATACCCCTCCCTGATATAAGTTGGGTAATCCCTCGGAACGTTTTTGAGATTTTGTGGATATCTTGGCTAACTACGATTATATGCCAATTTTTTGAAAATTGTCCTTATTCCCCAGTTTAGTCCAAAAAATGAGCAATAGTGGATTCTTTGACTTACGTCTAATTTTGGGAATACGATATTGTGTACATGACATTATACTACAGGGTGTTAAAAAAAGAGATGTGTTTTTCCAAAATTCCAAATCCCCATTCACAGGGCAGTTGTGCTTGATAGTCGTAATACCCCTCCCTAGTAACAGTTAGGTAATCCCTCGGGACGTTTTCATGATTTTGTGGATATCTTGGCTAACTACGATTATATGGCAATTTTTCGAAAATTGTCGTTATTCTCCATTTTAGTCCAAAAAATGAGCAATAGTTGATTCTTTGACTCTTATGTCTAATTTTGGGAATACGATATTGTGCACTTAGCTACATACTACAGGGTGTTAAAAAAAAGAGATGTTTTTTTCCAACATTTCAAATCCCCATTCTCAGGGCAGTTGAGCTTGATAGTCGTAATACCCCTCCCTGATATAAGTTGGGTAATCCCTTGGAACGTTTTCGAGATTTTGTGGATATCTTGGCTAACTACGATTATATGCCAATTTTTTGAAAATTGTCCTTATTCCCCAGTTTAGTCCAAAAAATGAGCAATAGTAGATTCTTTGACTTATGTCTAATTTTGGGAATACGATATTGTGTACATGACATTATACTACAGGGTGTTAAAAAAAGAGATGTTTTTTTCCAAAATTCCAAATCCCCATTCACAGGGCAGTTGTGCTTAATAGTCGTAATACCCCTCCCTAGTAACAGTTAGGTAATCCCTCGGGACGTTTTCGAGATTTTGTGGATATCTTGGCTAACTACGATTATATGGCAATTTTTCGAAAATTGTCGTTATTCTCCATTTTAGTCCAAAAAATGAGCAATAGTTGATTCTTTGACTCTTATGTCTAGTTTTGGGAATACGATATTGTGCACTTAGCTACATACTACAGAGTGTTAAAAAAAAAGAGATGTTTTTTTCCAAAATTCCAAATCCCCATTTACAGGGCAGTTGAGCTTGATAGTCGTAATACCTCTCCCTAATAACAGTTAGGTAATCCCTCGGCAAGTTTTCGAGATTTTGTGGATATCTTGGCTAACTACGATTATAAGGCAATTTTTAGAAAATTTACGTTATTCTCCTCTTAAGTCACAAAAATGAGCAAACTACGGAAGGTATCTATTAGTTATCAGTGCTTTCAGTTTATGTACGTTGCGTGATTTATTAAATCTGAAATTTTTTACACGAAAGCAATTTTTTTTGGTGAAATTCAAAATAAAAACGCAAACCAAACAGCATTATTCTCGTAAACTTATGCAGGCTATATTCATGCAATTTTCTACAAACGGTTGACCATGAAAGTTTAAAAAATATGGTGCATATCTGGTTTTGACTTTTATCGCTTCAATTATTGTTGTCATTTTTTTCGTCGAATATGAAAATATTTTTGCTATGCTATGTGCACAATATTGTATTCCCAAACTTGGACATAAGGGTCAAAGAATCAACTATTGCTCATTATTTGGACTAAAATGGAGAATTACGACAATTTTCAAAAAATTGCCATATAATCGTAGTTAGCCAAGATATCCCCAAAATCTCGAAAATGTCCCGAGGGATTACCTAACTGTTATTAGGGAGGGGTATTACGACTATCAAGCTCAACTGCCCTGTGAATGGGGATTTGGAATTTTGGAAAAAAAAATATCTCTTTTTTTTAACACCCTGTAGTATGTAGCTAAGTGCACAATATAGTATTCCCAAAATTAGACATAAGAGTCAAAGAATCAACTATTGCTCATTTTTTGGACTAAAATGGAGAATAACGACAATTTTCGAAAAATTGTCATATAATCGTAGTTAGCCAAGATATCCACAAAATCTCGAAAACGTCCCGAGGGATATCCTAACTGTTACTAGGGAGGGGTATTACGACTATCAAGCACAACTGCCCTGTGAATTGGGATTTGGAATTTTGGAAAAAAACATCTCTTTTTTTAACACCCTGTAGTATAATGTCATGTACACAATATCGTATTCCCAAAATTAGACGTAAGTCAAAGAATCCACTATTGCTCATTTTTTGGACTAAACTGGGGAATAAGTACAATTTTAAAAAAATTGGCATATAATCGTAGTTAGCCAAGATATACACAAAATCTCGAAAACGTTCCGAGGGATTACCCAACTTATACCAGGGAGAGGTATTACGACTATCAAAGTCAACTGCCCTATGAATGGGAATAACTTGAAATTTCGAAAAAAATGCATCTCTTCGTTTAACACCCTGTAGTATAATGCTATGTGCAAAATATCGTATTCCCAAAATTAGACATAAAAGTCAAAGAATCAACTATTCAGAATTTTCAAAGATTTTCAAAATCGATTAAGTAATTTTCCAATAACGAGCTTTCAAATATTTTCCAAAAAACTAGGTGCGTCGATTTTTATGACGAGCAGTTTATATTGTATCCTATATAGGCTAATATCGATTATAATGTTAAAGCAAAACAAGGTAGGTAATTGACCTTGCGTAAATAATTTAAACTATATACTTTCCTACTATTCCTATAATTATTCTATACAAACTTTTGCAGGTAAATGTAGTTGTTTAAAACCAGGGCCGCCAAGATGGTATAGGGGGCCTGGGGCAAATTTAATTCTTGAGGGCCCCTAACTCGAAGCTAAATGTTGGGGGTAGGGGGAAGAAAGGGTAACTTATTTCACACAATAGTTAATACTAAAAAAATTGAAAATTGTAAAATAATATTGTACACGTAGACAGTAGTAATAAATAGAGCCCGGATTAAAAAGCTTAAAAAAACTGATATATGTGCTTAACAAGCATAAAATATGCTTAAAAATCAATAAAAGCTATTTTTATATTAATTTTAATTAGAATGGTAAACATATTTTCTTTTTTTTCTCATTTGTTTTAATCCAAAGTCAAGAGAAAACTACCATAACATAAAAATGGCCTTTTTTACACTTAAATATTAGGTTATGTGGCAATAATTTAAGGAGCGAGATTTTTGGATAAATATTAATTTATAAATAAATAAAATCAGTTTTTTGGTTTTTGTAAAAAAATTATTTAAGAACCTAAAAATTTAATATAATTTTAACTCAATATGGGAAACACATCTTAAATGATCCTATTATGAAAAATATATACGCGTATGATAAAAATAGTGTATTATGTATCAAGTTTGATAAACGCCATTTTAGTCGCGACTTTAATTAAATGAGTGTCTAAACAAGTTTATAAACGAGTTGCATACTATACTCAAAATGTTTGTGTAAATCAAAATTTATCCCTTGAAAATGGACTATCATCCGATTACATCCAAGAAGAAGTTTTTTACTCCACGGTGGAGTCTCCACCCTCTTTAGTTAAATCTAGTTTACTGCCGGAAAAATCAAAAGGTCAGTAAAAACTTGCATATTAACTTTTTAAATAGGAATTGGCGTTGAGAAGCTATTTTATACCTTTTATTTTTGTATTAAGGTAATCAAATAATTTTCACGTTATTTCACAAGAAGGAAACTTTATTTTAACGATTGTATGACTTTTGACAGCTGTCAACTAACTTAAAACTTAATTCAGCCTGTGACTAAAAACCTGTTGCTAACTTCATCCCGTGACTAAAACGCCATAAGGCCACAAATTGTCAAAGATCACTTACTGTCATGGAAAAAGGTATGTTTTAGGTGGAAGTAAAAAAAATACATTTTATATCCAAATGACATAATAAAGTAAAATTAAAAAAAAACTAAAACTATAACTATAATATAATATTATATAATATAACAAAGAAATGTGCATTTAAAAAAGTATAAATTATAATGGCATATTAAGAAAAGGAAGTAAAACAATTATGTAAATTTATGGCCAGTATAAGAAATAGACAGGTCTAAACTATTTGAATTTATTTTATTTGATTATGTATTTTCCTCACTCTTATAACAGCTAAAGCCCTCTTAACACTTTTTTAATTAGGCTTTCAATGACCCTCAAAGAAATATTTTCCCATTCTTGTTCCGGGATATTTTTAGGTCATGTAACAAGAATAAACATCATGACGCATAAAAAGAAAGATAACCTCAGAAGATCTTCTCAGAAAACTTACAATTAGTTAGCAAGCCTAAGGTATACGTTATAAGATTAAAATTAAGATAATAAACTCGTTATTGTTTTTTGCACACTTGATAGTGTCGGATTTTCCTCTCAGGCTACCAGGCAGTGTTGCCAGATTTTGCGACTTCTCACAATTTTGGCTACTTTTATAAAGTTCGATACGCTCGATCTTGTTGGTTACAAGAATCTACGTCCACAAACCGATAAAATATCGTAGTTTATGTTTCGCGGGAATAATCAATTCTTAGTTTTGTTTGATTATGTTAATCTGTTGTTTACTGTTAAAAAAAGTTAACTGTAAAAAGATTATAATCTTCTTAGTTAACTGTTAAAAAATCTTGGTTTGTTGGTTTATTGACTATTAAAAGGGGTAAATAGAGCCGTTATAAAAAATCTTATCGTCAAGAGTGGTAAGCTGCAATAAAAGGGACTTTATCTTATCTTTTGTATTTTGACAAAACTGATATTAGTGACAATGACGAAATAAGTATTTGTTTTGAAATACTGGATTTGTAAAAAATTTAAAATAAAATGTTTCTATGTAAAACTATTTTTTATTTGCCAGTCTGGTGCTAGTGGCTAATTCCATTCCCTGTAGGAAGGTTTGCGACTTTTTTCATCATCGTCCGTGGGTCAGACTGAAAAAAAATCTGGCAACACTGCTTCCAGGGTTGATAAAACACTAGTTCATACAAAGCACATTAGTTAAACTAAAACAAATATGTTTTTATATTCAAGAATTTAAACTTTATTATTGTCAATACTCACTAATAAAGTAATTGATTATCTCCTGGGCTGTAAAAATAATTTAGACTAATTGAGTTTTAGGGTTTTATACTTTCTAGTCCGTTAAAAACCAGTTTGGACCAATCAAAAAATTCGATAAATATCAGATCTACATAACATTCAACTTTTAATAATAATTATTAATTGTAATAATAATTGTACGCTTTATGAATTGTTAC